GGCCGACTCATCGTGTTACCGCTGCGGGCATCTTGGACACTTCGCGTGGGACTGTCGGAGTCGCCCTCGCCCGCCTCTTCAGCCGGAGTCCACGGCCAGGGACGCGACGTCAACACCGGAGAGTCAACCATGTCAGGCAAGTCGGTACGCATCAGACACCCGGCAAGGCCTGTCATCTCATGCATCACCATCGGTATGCATTCCAGGGGCCTGTTCTAACGGGGGGACTCTAAGGGATCCGCGTCGCTCGCTGACACAGTGGCGAAAATTGGCACGGAGGGTGGTCGCAGCCGCTACTGGGTCGTCGACTGTGCCGGGTTCGATACAGGGGATCGACGTGCGGATTTTGGTAGATTCGGGCGCGTCCGCAACTATCATCTCGGACGTGATATTCCATCTCCTGTCCATTCCGCCGTCGCGGGTACGACCGGTTTACGATTCATGTGTTGCGGCGAACGGAGGGAGTATGGGCATCGTTGGTCAGGTGGAGGCGCGTATTTCGGTTGGGGGTGTGTGGACTTCGGGGACGGTGTTAATCTCCAGGTCCCTCGCTGTGCCATGTTTGTTGGAGACCGATTTCCTGGCAAAGATGCCCATTCAGATAAGGGTAGATCAGAATTGTATTGAGTTACTGGCGGACCAGAAGATTTTCTTTTTGCCGTCGTCGTGCGGCCAGTCCGCCCCGGACTGCCAGGTGCAGGCGCTGTCCGATGTTTCGGTCGACATTCCACCTGGCTCGCAGATGCTCATTCCACTGCGTTATCGGAAGCCCGTGCCTGGGGTCGAGGGGGCGGCGGGGGTGTTGTTGTCGCCGTCCTACGCGGTTACGGCTGGCCTGGCGCTGGTCGCAGCACGGACGATTGTTCGGCCGGGTCAGCTTCCGTTTTTGCAAGTGTTGAATGGAGGCGCGGACAATGTCGTCGTGCCGGCCAGAACGGTTCTGGCTCATGCTACAACCGCATTCACGGCCCATTACGATCCGGCCCACCGGGGCCTCGTTGGGGGGGTTTCGGCCTCGACGTCGCAGGATGATCGATGGATCGCCGGGTTGTGCCAAGAAAATGCGTCCTTGACTACGGACCAGCGGTCCGCGCTTCGCGCGCTGTTGGAAAAATATTTTGATGTCTTTAGTAAAGACGATTTCGATCTGGGACGCATCTCGTTGCTCTCCCACCATATTGATACCGGGGATGCTGCTCCCATTCGGATGAATCCACATCGGTTGAGCCCGGCGGAGAGGGATCATGTACGCGGCGCAGTGGATGATATGCTAGCCGCTGACATTATCTCTCCGTCCAACAGCCCGTGGTTTTGTGTTGATTTTCGGAGGTTAAACAAAGTGTCGGTTGCGGACGCTTACCCCCTGCCGCGTATGGATGATTCCCTCGATGCCTTGTCCGGGGCGAAATTTTTTTCCACTCTTGACCTTTCTTCGGGGTTCTGGCAGCTCCCGCTGGACGAGTCCTCGAGGGAAAAGACGGCTTTCCGTACGCCGCAGGGCCTGTTTCAGTTTAATTGTCTTCCCATGGGGTGGAACGCCGCCCCTGCTATGTTCCAGAGGTTGATGGAACTCGTGTTGACCGGTCTGCAGTGGGACACGTGCTTTATATATTTGGATGATCTTCTTGGTTCTTTCGGTAAAGTCACGTAGAAGGGAAGTAATAAAATAATAAAAATAAAACATAATAAAACATGTTTTATTATGTTTTATTTTTATTATTTTATTACTAATAAAACATGTTTTATTATGTTTTATTTTTATTATTTTATTACTTCCCTTCTACGTGACTTTACCGAAAGAACCAAGAAGATGAATCCCTGCAGTCACGAAAGCTTTAAATCGAAATATTTGGATGATGTTATTGTGTTCAGCCGTACGTTTGAGGAGCATCTTCAGAGATTGGATGCTGTTTTTGCTAGGGTACGTTCCGCCAAATTGAAATTTAAGCCCAAGAAGTGTCACCTTTTGCAACGATCTGTACGCTATTTGGGCCACATTGTCAGCTCTGACGGTGTGGCCACGGACCCGGAGAAAACTGCGTGCGTCCGGGACTGGGCGATTCCGGCCACGGTGGGTGACGTCTGTCGTTTTGTCAGGTTCGCTTCCTATTATCGCAGGTTCGTTCCGAATTTCCCTACGATCGCTAGGCCGTTGCACCTCCTTACGGCAAAGAACCGGAGGTTCAGCTGGGGCCAGTGGAGGAGGCGGCATTTGATGGCCAACGCGATCACTTGGCATCAGCGCCGACGCTGGACTACCCTGATTTCACTCTGCCTTTTATTCTGGATACCGACGCTAGTGACACGGGGATTGGGGCCGTCCTATCGCAGTTTAAGGGTGGCGTCGAGTGCGTTGTGGCTTACGGGAGCCGCGTTTTATCTCGGGCGGAGACCCGCTACTGCGTTACCCGCCGGGAACTATTGGCTATAGTGCATTTTGTCCATCAATACCGCCCGTATTTGTATGGCCGTAAATTTATTGTGCGCACGGACCACGCGGCTCTGCAATATTCCCTGAAGTTGACCAACCATCTGGCCAATTGGCGCGATGGTTGGAAACTTTGCAGGAATTTTCGTTTGAGATTCAATATCGTAAGGGGTCGCGTCACGCAAATGCGGACGCGCTCTCCCGATTGCCGCAGGGATCCACCTGCGCCTGTGCCTCTGGCACGAATAGGTGCATGTGGGTTCCACAGCCCCCGCGTCCTGTCATGTCCGCTGTGGAGATGCCCGGGGCTTCCACATGTCCGGAACCGGCCGACGGGGTTTTTAATTTGTCGCGTTCCGTGTGGATTCGAGAGCAATTGCTCGATGATTCGCTGGGGGCCTTACGGAGTCGGGCTGTGAAGGAGAGGGGATATCCGTCGTCCGATGGGACGCCGGGAGCGGCTCTTCATGATGGCTTGTTGATGTGGAGGGAAGGCTTGCACGATCGCAAGCCTTCCCTCCACATGCCGTCGTCGTTGCGATATGAGTTGATTCGGATTCTGCACGCTGAGAAGTTGTTACATCTCGGGGTACAGAAAACCTTGTTGACGTTACAGCGGGATTATTTTTGGCACGGTATGACTGACATCGTCGGGCATATTCAGGTGTGCTCCGACTGTTCCCGGCGGAAGCCGCCTAAGCAACCGTATGTTCCCCAAGTGCAGTCAATACAAGTGTCGCGGGTTAACAAGTTGGTGGCGTTGGATATTCTGGGGCCCTTTCCCCCGTCCGCTCGGGGGAACAAATTTTTGTTGGTCAGGGTTGAATATCTTTCCCACTGGCCGATGGCCTGGCCTTTGCCCGACCAGTCGGCGGCGTCTATCACGGAGGCATTTCTGTTCGGATATGTGATGGACAAGGGGGCACTGGAAAAAGGTTGCTTACAGACCAAGGGCGAAATTTTTCTTCCAACCTATTGCGGGATGTGTGCGACGCACTGGGGACTAAGAAAGTTCGGATGTCTCCGTACCATCCACAAACTGATGGGATGGTTGAACAGTTGAACCGGACCCTGTCGGCCATGCTCTGTCATACAGTTAGCGAGAAGCAGGCCGATTGGGATTTGCATATCCCTGGGGTGCTCTCTGCTTACCGGATGGCGCCACATGCGTCAACGGGGTACTCACCCTTCTTTTTGATGTACGGCCGCGAGAATGTGCCGCTGGTGGAAGTGCAACTTGGCACGCGGGTGAGGGGTCCTGTTAAGCCCCTCCCAGAGTATATTCGTGACGCCGCTCGGCGCGTGGCGGAAGCGCGGGAGACGGCCCGATTGGCTACGGCCAGGACCCAGGCCCGGAACGAACGTTGCGCCCGGCGCTCTCATCGTGGGTCCCCCTGGCGAGTGGGGGACATGGCCTGGCTCCACTGCCCACAGGTACCGGTGGGGACCTCCCCTAAGTTGCACAAACCCTGGCAGGGGCCGGTTGTGCTTATTGAGGTCCCTAGCCCGCGGTCCGCGCGCGTTCGGGTCGGATCGCGGCGTTGGTACGTTCACACATCCCGATTGAAACCCTACTTGGCCCCGCAAATGGATGCGTCATCTCCTAACGTTGCCTTGCCGGTGTCTGTCGCGTCCGACGCGCCACTGACTTTGCCTGTTCAACCTGCAAGCGAGCCTGTCATGCCTCCTGTAGACGGGCCGGATGTGATCCTGCCGGACACAGGGATTCCTGCACCAGTTGGGCCTACCACGGCGACACTTGGCCCCACTGCCCCTCCAACCCCGCCGCGATTGCAGTTGCAGGGAGCCCCGACTACGGACCTCTCTGGGGAACGGGGTGCTGGGACGGATAGGCCTCCACCAGCGGCGGATGGTTCCGGTTCCGCCGCTCCTAAAACCCTGTCGGGACTGCGACCTTTGAGGGCGCCGCCTCTCGTGAAGGACGGGCCGGCGACCCGCACCGTTCCAAATCCCTTCCCTTTCGTTAATTGTATTGTTATACTCTCCGTTGTGTCTGGTGATTCCTGACGGTTGGCTTTTTCATCGGGGGGGGGGGGTCATGTAATGCGAGCGTAAATGGGGTTGTTGCTGGGCTCTGGTCCAATCACACGGCCCGGGGTATTGGGGGGCGGAGCCTGGTCTGCGGGGCGTGTGGGAGGGGCCACCGTTCACCTCGGCTCCAATGGGAAGCGAGGTGAATGGGGGCGGAGCCAGCGGGGTAGTATGGGAAGGCCGGATCTGAGGATCCGGAATGGGAGGAGTCAGGGTCACGTGGGGGGAATGGATATAAGTGGGAGCCCGGAAGAGATCGGGGCAGTCGAGGGGAGTTAAGAGTCTGAGCCACGTTGGGTGGTGAGAGAGAGATCCGCGCCATCGGCCACGTGGCCGAAGGACCTCAGCACACCGTCGGCCAGCGGTGTGCGGAGTGCGGGAGTAGAGAAGCTAACGGAGAAGCGTGCGTGGCACGCGAGAGGGAGCGTGCGCGGGGCGCGCGCGAGATGACGCTGGTCCGTGAAGGAGACCAGCGGGGTGCGGAGAAGAACCTGATTAAAAGACAAGCGGAGACCAGCAGTGCCTGACGGAGTCTTTTATTACACTTGTATTGGACTCACAAATGCAGGTGATTGCCTGTATTGGACTCGCGAATGTAGGTGATGCTTAAACTGGACTCGTGGACGCAAGCAATGCCTGTATTTGACTCGTGGATGCAGGTGATGCCTGTGCTAGACTTGTGGATTCAGGTGATGCCTGTGTAGTGACATAGTGCTGACTGTTATACAGCAGCTGCAACTGGGCACTTAGCGCACACGCCGCTGAGCATATACTCGGGTGTGCCGGCAGGGTGGAGGAACTGGGGCAAGGGTCACGGTAGACCTCGTGGGGAAGATCCTGGAACTATCTGGAGGGTTCGAGAAGGGAGGCGCGGCTAGGGTGGAGCCAAGCCATGCCGAGAGGAATAAAAGCAGCGAAGAGCAAGAGCTCCGGGTTACCGGTTCTGGGATTGGACTCGTCTCGTCATCCCTGTCATCGTCGCCGCCCTCGTCGCTGCCGCCTTTGCCCTATCATTGCGCAGCCGGACAGTAGTTGGTTGCCCTGGTCGACGCCGTCAGTGCAACGCGGACAGGGTTGTGTCTGGGACGGGTCGCACGGCAGCGTGGTCGTGTGAGAAAGGGGGGGGGGGCCCGAGTGGTGGCGTGAACCCGACAACAACACTAAAAGGGGAGGATGGTGCCTCCTCTGACTACCTCGTCTCCGACTTGAGTGTGTGTGCGACGCATGCCACCCGCATGCACAGGCGACACTACATCTGTACTAGAGTCGCGGATGCAGGCGCACATTGATTCCATTCTCTGGACGCAGGATGAGTTCCCCCACGGGGCGCAGCATTTCTCGCTCCTCCATGGCCTCAACTCGGAACGCACGCAGCACCGACGACAGCAGCACCTTCTCCTCCATTAGGGCGAAGCGCTGGCCTAAGACGAAGTCACACCATAGAGAGGTCACCACACATAAATAATGTGATATAGAGTCACTGTAAAGGGATTCAGAGGGGCAGGAAAGGACAGTATACATTTTCATCATCCAGTAAATGTGAATCATGTGCTATGAAGTTGGCTGTCAGTTATTCCACATTTTTAAAATTCAGTTAATCAAACTAGTGCAAATACAACGACACGTAACACAGTGTCATAAGCACCAGGAAAATATCATGAATATACACAGGCGAGACCATCACCCATTAATTATTATTTTTGTAACTGTAAAATGTTCGTCATATTCGCTCAATTGTCATAAGCACATTGCAAATGCATGCACACGCTCAGGCTCTTGTGTTCATTCTTTCATTCAAGCCGCATATCGATCCATGTTGTACATTTGGCCATAGTCGTGCACACATACGTTAAATAATGCCCTTTCAGCATTCTGGAAGGATATAATCAGGCTTTGCAAAAGAGCAGCCAATGAAATGCTATGTGTATAAATAATCAATTACACAGGCGCACGCAGGCACATGCATTCTGCTGTGCTATCTTGCACACTTTTGTTGATATTGTGCTCTGTGTAACACGGAGGAGGACACTCACCAATACAATTGCGCGGACCAGCAGAGAAGGGGACATAGGCGTAGGGGTGGCGCCCCACTGAGTTTTCAGGAAGGAAGCGCTCAGGCCGGAACTCCTCGGGCTCGGGGAAGCTGTCCGGATCTCGGTGCAGGCTGTACGTGATGATGACTGCATTTACTCCCTTGGGGATCGTGAAGCCACCTGCACACAGGACACAAATCAAAACTCACACTCGCATCCACAATAACACACCAAGAGTGATCGTTTCTGTGAATGACCGATGAATAATTAATATGCCACTGTGTACACACAGATACACGTAATCAACAATCACAATTCACCTGTATTTAGTCACAGGCATTGAGTGCATGAAAATATTATTTTTTGTTTAGGTTGTCCTTCCCCCGCACCTCTAATTAGCACGGTTGGCTACGTATGGTTTGCGAAAGCAGTTCAAAATACATTATGGGACCTCCGTTGCCAGTACCAAAATATGAGAATAGGGTTTTCCCTTTTTTCTGGCAACAGGTGTTAAGATAAGAATAGGTTTTTACACTTTTTTATAGCAACAAAACTGGAACCTTTTTACGAGGAATCATGTCTGCATTAACCACAATACTTGTGGTCAGAATGTAAGCAAAAACATACTCTGATAATATATGCATTGACTTTGAAACTGATTGGTTCACACCAAGTATTGTGGTTAATGCAAACATGATTCCTTGTAAAAAGGTTTCAGTTTGGTGTTTTAACATCTTAACACCTGTTTTGTTGCCAGAAAAAAGGGGAAAACCTATTCTCACAGTTCAAACTAGATACATACATACAATTTTCAGACTGGGATTCACATCGATCCTATAACTCGCAAGATGGCGACAGCTTGTATTTTAAATGTCAATGCTATTCTCATATTATACGTGAATACCTTTTACTGATTATAATTAGCAATCCTTGATGACAATGAGACAACTAAGCATTTGATAATTATGAAAAATACATTTAAAAAACTATAATTAAGCAGACGTAAATCGACACATCCATGGCACTGGCCCCTCGTCCCCAAAGCAAAGGTTTGAATCAAAGTATACACGACATTCACTTTCCTTCAAACTGCACCTGCTGGGTCTCTACAATCCTATTTCCTAGACTCCTCGTTGTTTTAAGGGTTGTCTCTGCTGCTTGCAAACTCCAATGTATGTATGTAAAAGTTATTTCACACTGTACGAAGCAAACCATGCTAATTGGAGGTGCCATTTACATGAATTTTTTTCCCATCCACACTTAGAGTATTTGGTGCTATTAATTTCCACATGATGAGCCACTTTGTTGAGCTATCAATCGTGGCCATGCAATGCTGCAATGCATTTTTCCTTCAATTAGTAGTTGGTTAATGTCTTCATCATGATGGCCTGTTGTAATGTTGAAGATCTTTCGCACCGTATGTAGCCAACCGTGCAAATCGGAACTATGTTGTCAGGGGATATATTTGAATTTTCGAATATACATGTGTAGTGATACACTCAGAGATACTAGGAATAGGAGGCACTCTATTATAGCCTTCACAGGGTACAAATGGTAACTACACTTCAGTCAGGACAGCTAACAGACTGCCTGATTGACAACACCGAGAAGGTGAAGATGGTGATGAAGGCTCCAGCAGCCCGACGGGATTCCACTCCAAACCACAGCCTCGAACCTTCGCTCGGGGTCCCGGTTTATCCTCCTGGCGTGACCTCGCTCCGCCCCCGGCCATGCCCCCCTTCTGGAACCTACTAATGAGTTGCCTCTCTGCTTATCAAGTGACCTGACAGACAGAGCTGCTGCAACCGCAGATCCCTTTCCCTGTGATATGCTCCATAGTGACCCATTCCATGTCACTACACATGTGTAGTGAGTCCAACTGAGTTGCAGACGTTATTCTTCAGAGGCAACACATTTATTGTAACATGTATATACAAAGGGGTAACTGCCCCTTTACCAGATACAGCCGAGGGTGGTGACCACCCAGCTAACTACACTATACGTAGGAGTTACAGCTACGAAGGTTCGGACCCTCACTCGGGTCCCCGGCCAAGTGTTGATGCCTCGTAGGACGTAGAGCTTCGAGCTTGTAGATCGAAGCGACCCCGGTCCTCCTGGGTCGGGGCCGGCTGCGCCCTCGGCCCCACCCGCCTTCGAGCGATCTAGCTCCTTCTGGATCCCCCTCGAGAGCTCTCCCTGGACACGTGATCACCCCCTAGCCCCCCCACCTGAGGCCTTCTCTGTGGACACTCCAGATCATGTGTCTACGGGGTCAACCAGAGTGCCATGGCCCGGGGCAACCCTGTCCCTGGGCTGACACTCTCCTGCTCCCCCTTGTGGTGTACGCGATGACGGTGCATCGCACGCTGTGCTATGCTAAAGCCGGCATCACGCAGCAACCCACCCGGTGCTGTCCGCGACGTAAGAACATCGCACGCCACGGCCCTCCCGGGCCGGCACCGTACAGTGACACTACACATGTATACATGATTTAAAATGTTGTTCCATGGATACATTGGTGTTGGTCTATACTAGGGGTCGCCAACCAAAATAACGAGGCATTTGTTTTTAATTTGGTAAAATAAATTCAATATTTCAAGAGCCGCAATGCACTTAAATACGAGACGGTTCCTAATAAATAACGTGAAGCAGTCCTTAACAAGTCGCATGTGGCTCCAGAGCCGCAGGTAGCTGACCCCTTGTCTGTACTAATAATCTTAACATGTTTTAATATTATTTAAATATTTTGGCTGCTGTAAATTTCTACATGATAAGCCACTTCATTGAGCCATTATTTGTGGCCAGGTTGCTTCTGAAAAAGAAGCAAATAGCTCAGTGGGCCTTACCTAGTAAAATACAAAGTTTCGTTTTATAATTATTTGCTTACCTTTCCTATACTTTGCATTCCTATCATGTTTTTGTATTGTTTGTTGTTGTAACTTTCTGACCTGCCCCTACTGGACATCTGTGAAAAAAAGCTTCATAGCTTATCGTATTCGTCCAGTGTAAATGAAGATTCTAATAACCATGGCGCTGGTGAGCGCCACAGTGGGTGCTCACCGGCACAACGTGTTTGAGTTTTACAGATTTGGAGATCTGGTGCCAGTCAAGAAATTGATTCAGCAATAAATTATATATATGTTAAGTACAAATCCCATTCTAACCTATAAACTGTGGTATTATTTACCAAGAGTCCATTTAGTTTTGCATCAACGCAAATCAATATATATATGTTCACTGTGGCGATGTATGAATGAATTTGCTCCTGCTGCTGCTTACGGATGGTGCAGTCTTGGGACAGGGTGCGCGCAAACATGGGAACAGAAGGAAAGATGCGCAGAGCCTCCTTGATGACGCACTCCAGATAGCGCAGCTTCTTCAGATCCTCCATGGTCATGTGCCGACTGGACTGCCCTGCAATACGGAGTAGAGCACAGCTCCTGAAACAAGGAATCAAGCATGAAGGAAGCCCGAATATTGTCCTCTCTACACAGCAAACACCTTGCCACTTTGTCTTCAATGTTGAGACAATGGGATCTGCAATTTAGGCATATCTTGAGTCACTGTCCCTGGCAAATGACTGGGACTGGTTTTCACTCTAGCATCAACACACACAACCCACACTTACACTCTGCCGCTTTGTGCAAACACCATGTTTGGTATAAGTTTATTGAGCACACATGGCAATCTTTAACGAAGCAAAAGCAAGAGCAGGACGAGAGGCTTCACTACGTTCTCCGGAGTCACCGTGTTTCTCGAGCGAGCGCTCAAGAGATGCTACCTCTAAGGGCGCCACGGTATGCGAGATGTTAACTACCTTGCCTGGTATACAGGAGGTCGTGGGTTCTAGTCTGACCCTGACACCTCTATATATTTGGAGTTTGCACTTTTTTCTCCATGGTCATGTGGAGTTTTCTCCGGGTCCTCCAGTTTTTCCCTCGACATTTATAAACATATGTATTTGGCTATTATAAATATCCACATGTTAAGCCACTTCGTTGAGCCATCATTTGTGGCCAGGTGGCTCAGTGGGCCTTACTTGATAAAATAAAAAATTGTTTAGTTTGAGCTTGTTTTTGTTTACCTGGAAACCAGTACACCTGCAACAAGCGGACATTACCGGGTGATCATTCCTGTGGCCTGATCCGATGACGGAGGTTGAGGTGCAGGAGATGGAGCGAGCAGTGGGTGTGTGCTGCACTTCACGCAGACGGTGCTCTGCGTATTCCTACCGAACACTTGGTCGAGCTCCCGGTGAAGCTGCCTCTGCACGTGCGGATGTGACCCGATCAGGTAGAGTGCCCAGTTCGTAGCAGCTGCAGTCGTGTCGTGCCCCTAGGCATTCAGATTCAGCAGCATTGAGAGTGCGTTCCGTTACAAAGACGATAGAAGCAATGTCTCGCCCAACACACTATTATCCTGGTCCTGAACCAAACGATTGCCAAGTGGTAGAAAAATGCATGGATGGAGTGATCGTTTCTTAGAGAGATTTGATAACATCTTTGTGAGTTCACAAACAAATTGAAAAATGTGATCTGAGGTTACAACATGGGCTTGTATTATCAGTGCTGTTGATTGTTACCATAAGAATCACTGGAAGATTTGATGAATGTGGACATTCTGGATTTGAAGTTTTCGTGACTGCAAGGATCCATACTCTTAGGTGAAAATAAAGAATAAAATTGACTAAATTAAATCACGACGTTTCGGAGGCAACACAAGCTTCCGTCATCAGGTGGGACAACAACAGCAAAAAACAATTACTGTAGTGGTCAGAGAGAGCTGTATGTGACAAGCGATTATATAGGGTAAGAGGGGGGGAGGAGCCAGGGAGGAGGGATGCAGGGGGGGGGGGCGTGTGGAGTCGGGGGTGGGGGTTAAGCTGTTGTCGTTTTTTCCTATAGCCCCAAAGCAATTAGGATATTACTATGTTAATAACATTCTTCTAGTGTATGGCAGGCAACGGCTGGTGAGACACAATGCCGGTGTGGGCCTGGGGCGAAGGTAGCGTGCTGTAGAAACTGGAAATGCGAGTATGGAAGCAAGCTATAAAAGCAATTAAGATTTTACCTGGTTAATAACATCCTTCCAATGATTGTTCAATTTGAATCTATCTTCTCGGTTGAAGTTATGTCTGTGTTTGTAAATCTGGATGGCTTCATGAACAAATCTTTGATAGTAGCCTGACGGTTTGCAGAGTACCTTGGTCTCGGAAAAAAAACTATCATGAGAGCCCACCGCGTTATAGCAGTGATCAGCAACTGCGGAAGATCCAGTTCTGCCATGTTTCAAATCCGCCTTGTGCTCGCGAATGTGGTCTGATACATGTCGTTTCATTTCCCCAATGTAACAATCACCACAAATGCAACTAAGTTTGTAGACTCCAGGGTATTGCATGTCAGGAATGACATCCTTTATGGATGGGATTAGATCACGGATCTTGTGTACTGTACTGAATCGGACCTGGATATTGTGTTTGTTTAAGATTTTGGAAATCTTTTTGGTAACGCCTGCTATGTATGGTAACGTGATGGTTTTGATCGGAGTCTAAGGGGCTTGTCTCTCTGGTTGGAGAAACAGCTTTGCGGATAATCTGGTCCGAATATCCATACATATATATTTTGTGCCCGGGGACGAACTATAAAATTGGCGCCCCCACCCCCCCCCCCCCCCCCCCCCCCCATTTAATCACATTTTCCTATTACATCGAATAAGGAATAACAATTTAAATTTTAATGAAACATTGTATTTAAAGAAGCAAATTTATACAAATTATATTACATGGCTCACTCAGTCACTGTCGTAGACTGGTTGTCAGTCTACAAAAGATACATTTTTCTTGATTTCACTGTCGCAAACTGGTCAATCACATAATCAACATCTGTTTTTTCCAATGTTTCTCTTTCAACGCTAAGAAGAGCAAGATCGCTGAGACGATTTTGTCCCATTGAAGCATGCAAATACGACTAAATAAGTTTCAATTTGCTGAACGACCGCTCACAGCTTGCAATTAAAACTGCTTTTGTTAATAACATTTGCAGTGAAATTCGCAAATTCGGAAATATGTCGTCTCCATAAAACACAATAAAACCAAGAAGATCCAAAGGAGTTTCTGGTAGAACTTCATTCCGGTTACTGAGCAGCATTTTGCAATCTCCAATTTCTGTGAAAAGTTCGTGGCCACTGATGTCGGTGTCATAGAAATTTCCAAAATCTGTGCAATTTCGACGAATTGCATCGACATCTGTGTTGGATAGAAGAGTTTTGACGTCCAGCAGAAATCAAAATTTTGTGTTCAGGTTTTTTAGTCGTAAAAACCGTGTTGACATCTCCTGTTGAAGTCGATAAAATACGCTCTTCATAACGCGCACAATTTCTTCTGCTGAAAGTCCTGCATCTCTTGCCAGTTCTCCTGGCATCTTCCGACATCGCCTAATTCTTCTGTCCACATCGATCCCCCAGGCTGTGCATCTTGTTTTGGCGTTTTCTACAGCAACTTGGCTCAAATCATCACGAAGCTTGACAAATTCATGCTCCAAAGATTCAAGATCAGTTGCTGCTTCCTTGAAATTCATAGTAGGATCCTGTAAGAGCTTCTGAACATGATAAATTTTTCCAAGAATGACATTCCAGAAATGTAATAAAACTATGAAGTTAAAATGTAATACGCATGCCTGTAACTGTTCTGCATCACTTCTGGTTTCAGGCGTCATAGTTACGTCCTCCGATAATTTGTCGAGCAGCCCTACTAGTTCATCCAGTCCTTCATAGATAGCTTTAACAGCTTCTGATCGTGCACTCCAGCGTGTTTCAGACTCCAGCTTTACTGTGATGGGCACAGCTTTTTGTAACTCTTCCCAACGAATTGTTGAACGAGAGAAAAACAAATATAAACTTTCAACTGTTCCAAAAAAATGTAACAAGTGGATCCTGTTTAGTTGAGTGTACTCCTGCTAAGTTTAAGCTGTGGTTGTCACAGTTGACAAACAATGCTCTGATTTTTGTCACATATTCGTTGTTGAAGGCCGGATATATGCCCAGTCATCACAGCAGCATTGTCATAACATTGTGCCTGACAGTCGGCTAGAGGTATGTTGTCAGATTTCAGTCTCTCGACGATGACTATTTTTAGGCTTGCTGCATCTTTTGCATGTATCTCAATATAACCTAAAAATGATTCTTTGATAGTTACTTTTTTAGTTTGAAAATCCACATCCACAAATCTTATGACCTGAGAAAGCTGTTCCCGATGTCCTAGATCAGGAGTTGAGTCAAGTAAGATACCGTAGTACTTGTTTTTCCTGATATCACTCAACAATTGGTTCTTTACAGTCGACGCAAGTATGTGGATAAATTCATTCTGGATTTTCGGTGACAAATAAGAAACTGATCCCGGATTTTCTCCTGCGTGCTGTACGTGTTTTGCTAACAATGGGTCATGCTGTGCAACGAGTTTGATCAGCGCGAGAAAATTTCCAACATTCAAATCTTCCTCATGACCATGTAGTGCCAAATTTTGTGAAACCAGAAACTTAATACAGGTGAGTATTCTTTGCAATATATCTCGCTAACGTTGTTTTTCCAAATGAATCTGAGCTTGAACCACTGCGTCAATTCCAGTACCATAAATTATCCTTCGTTCGTTCCATGTAGTAAAAGCTCTGGTGCGGTGGCTAGGATTGTTTTCATGAGAATTTAGTTTTTCTGGCTTTGTCCACTTGTTGAAACCGTTTGTTAACTCAAACGAAGCTCGTGAGTTTGAACTCGATTATGTAAATAATAGACAACAGAAACAGTAAACAGCTTTATTAATTGGTGAATATAATAGCCACGAACGAGTCACTTCCTCTCCGTTCGCTAGTCGGCGTTTAAACCATGATGTAATTTAATGTGCGTGGGCTGCTGCGGCAGCTGCAGCCGCCTGGAACGTGGTGTCACTAATCTATATATATAAAATCGCAAATCTGTCTGTGTGTCGCCGGACCATACGCAGTTTCATTGGACGGCGGTTGCCCCTGGCAACGGGTAGCGACGCATTCGCTGCGGGATGGACGCCATTTTTAATTCCCGTTAAAAATATGCGCACGCATTAACACGCGACTCTGAGGTAAATTCATCAAAGTTTCACGTCCTCTTCACTCCCCCCCCCCACCCCAATGTGTGCTATTACTATTATAGGGTCGGTAGATAATAAAATGATAGCGATTACACAGTATTATTGTAGCGCGGGGGGGGGGGGGTAACGGCCCCGGTACCCAGCCTCAGCCGGGTGGGCAATTTAGGCGAGGCCGGAGGCTCTGCACGGTACTAGGCCTCGACACCCCACCACACTATAGGCCGGACATATTACTGCACAGCGGCCAAGGAGATCGTGGCTGGGGGGGGCAGGGGTAGCAGCCCATCTGTGTATATATGTAAGGTTATTAAGAAATATATTTTTCACCCGGGCAACGCCGGGTACTTATGCTAGTAAGAACTAAAAATAGGCCGTTGTAGTTTCCGCCACCAAAAAACAGGCCAGTGACTAAGGCTGAAAGACTGCGCCTGTGTTGTTTGGGACGTTCTTCCATGTAAGTTCTTAATAGGCGCGCGTACCAAAATGTAATTACATGAAATGTAGGCTGTGTGTGGCAGGATATATCAACTTTTAGGTTGAGGTGTAGATTTGTGCAGTAGTTTCAGGCTGCCGCGCCCGCCGCAATAAGTTATAATGTAACGTTGTAAGCCTCATTTTGGCGCCCCTTTACCTTGGCGCCCGGGGACATATGTACCCCCCTGCCCCCCCCCCCTAGCTACGCCTCTGGCCTGGCGTACGTGTTCCAATTCACTGGCTAGGTGGTGTTGCTGGATGGTGGTGGGAGTCAGGTTTCAGATAGGAATCTGTGTGGGTGGCTTTCCTTTAAACAGTGTCCCCAAGAGCCATCAAGATTTTTCTCATGATCATCAGCATCTAAGGTCCATATGTATTTGTAGTGTGGCATCGCTGATATCATCCGCAACCGAGGCTGAATCGTGTCATCAGATGCGAGACCTGAAATCTAGAGGCCAGGAGTCTCTCCGTGTTCACCTCCTTGAGGCACCCACCTCAAACATGAAGGTGTCCACCTCCTCGCGGATGTCGCTGTGGGAGAGGGGCCGGTCCTCGCTGTCCTTGGCGGCCAGCAGCATGTCCAGGAAGGCGAGTCTCTTTCGCCGCTGGGCATTGGTCCCGGTGTCCCTCTCATGCTTATGGCTCTGAGAGTGCTCTATGATCACCTGCGCAGGTGATCGCACAAGGGTATCGAGGGGGCACACGAGCAGAGTCGGCAACAGTCTCTCGAGAGTAATTGTCACCGCCCTTGCCTCTGCAAAAAATCACCCATATGATCACAACGTTTAACATCACGTGCTTTCAGATGCGCTTCTGCGGCCATCTGGAACGCTATTCCTTCTGCCTGATGAAGACCGCTTGTGTTGCGATGGAAACGTTGTGGGTTTTTCGCTTTTATTATTTTCAATTTATTTTGATTGTATTTTTTATTATTTTAATTGTATTTTTTTATTATTTTATTTTTTCTTCTATTCACGTGACTTTACCGAAAGAACCAAGAATATGAATTCCTGCAGTCACGAAAGTTTTAAGTCAAAATTAGGAAGCCACTGGAGCTATGCACTTTTAAATCTCGATTGAAAACTCATTTCTTTGGAACTTTGTTTTGTGTTTAGTTTGTTGTCCTTCCCCGCACATTCGATTAATATATTTGGCTATGTACAGTGCGAAAGAAGTTCAACATTTTTACATACAAAATTATGTCCGTAGCAAGCAAATGTATAGAAGTGAAATGTGCAAAAGCTGCAAGGAGAGGAAGAGCCCAGTCTGGATCCTGTCCCAGGTGGAGTTGGGCTGGAGGTGAGGTGGATTCTCACAAATTGCAGAGTCCCTCGTGAAAAATACAGACTCGCACCTCCTCGGTGAACGTGTGGAGGACCTTGAGACATCGGTCATGGTCTTTTCCTTCCCCCAGGGTCGAGTAGAGAAAATCCGACCAGAACCAGGGCATTTTCTGTCTCCTGTGAATGAAGTCACTCAACCTGCAAACAGATACAACATTTATGGTATTTGTATTCCCATTGCCAAAATCAGTTTAAAATACGACAAATACACAAGAACTCCAGTCAAAGTGTATTGTTTATATTGTTTATGGATATGTTATTGTGTTTACTGTTATGTTTTCATGTACATTCGTATTGTGTAGTCAATTTAGTGGTATCGTTTTACAGTCTTCGAGGGACTGCAAGGCTGATTTAAGCAGCTGTTAAAACCAACAGCATCACAGAAACTGGCAGGCAGAGAAAACATCACGTGATATAGTTGATCATCAATTCTGCTCTCACTGCTGGAAACCGTGATGCCTGGGGAAAGGCCCTGGGCTGGTTTCTAACCCAGCAAGAAGAACGCCAATGTGTACACCTGGGAAACAAGGTTTCTCTTCTGTCTCCAGGGTAGTTCCTCAAGGTTCAGTCATGAGTCCTCTTGAATCTCCAATCTTCGCCCAATCTCCCTATTTTTGTCATTGCATCAAACGTGTTAAATCCTACAAATGATTGGGGTCCTGAGGCATCGCCTGAATCTGCAGTGCACGTATAAAAACTCACACGAAGAAATGAAGAAACTAAAGACTAAATCAAACTCAAGCCAAGATTATTTTCAAAAATAAAATTCTAATCTTGCTTTCCGTTGAACATGAAGAAAAAAGTAACGTGGGAAGAATGCGATATTTTCTTATAATTAAACTAGGCCCTGTATTGTGGCGCGGTGGTGCACCTTGAACAAAGGTGCACTTTAAAAATCAACTAAACACGGAAGACAAATCATGCACACACGTAGATTCTGTAAGGTTTCCCAACATGCGCTTGTCCTCAAAAGTGTTGGCGATAATGATGGTGGCGCTAGCACGAGGTGCACTAGCAACGGTTATCATGCCCGTAGCCGAAAATGAGACGGGGCACGGAGTGCGCGTGACGGACAGTGCAGTGATCAATGCGGACGCTTTCTCCAGGGCAAGGCCTTCACGCAGCAACCTATACTCTCAAGTTCCATCAGATCATGCTTCCCATCATGGAGAGATGCATGGAGAAGGCACGGAAGGACGCTCGGAGAGACAGCATGGCGAGATGCACGGATAGACGCACAGAAAGACAGCATGGAGAGACGCATGGAGAGACAGCACTCACTTGTACACGGCCTGCACGTACTGCGACTCGCTGTTGCTCTGTGCGTATACCTTCCTGCCCATGGCCGTCTCTGTACAGAGAACAACGCAGCGATAACAACACAAGTACAATCTAGATTGAAAGTTTTCGTGACTGCAGGAATCCATACTCTTTGGTTCTTTCATCAGGTGGGACAACCACTTGCTGTGGTTGTCCCACCTGATGACAGATGCTTGTGTTGCGCCCGAAACGTCGTGATTTAATTTATTTTATACCTACGTGACTTTAATTAAAGAACCAAAGAGTATGGAACACAAGTACAAACAATAGTGTCTATAGTTAGCTCAGGTTTTCGTCAGTTATGACCAACATGCTATTTCATTAACATGTTTTTGTAATAATAATAATACGGGTACAGACTCAGGTCTGGTACTAGTGTAGAGGAGTGAAATACGCCGTACACACAGTTAACTGAGGGCAACGGAGGGAAACAGGTGCACGTGTGCAACATGAGGTTTGCACGGACAAACCGCCAGTTGTTAAGGGGCGAAACAGGTGCAAATGGGGTCGACCGGTTGTGCACGTTGAGGCCGGAGGTGTTGCCAGGGAGACGGGAGATAAGGGAATGATTGATGGACCAACAGGCGCCGGCCTAGGGAGAGCTTAAAGAGATGCATGAGCAGTCTCGGATAATTATCAGAGGGATATAAGGGTGTGTGCGTGAGCGGAGGGGACGAAGAGTGAAGACATCTCGCCGCTCCGGCCGTCAACGGGACCTCAACCCTCACACCGTTGCCAGGCGGGTGCTGATCCCCCAGCCCGGGACAGATGGGTGAGCGGGTCTGAGGGAGCGTAGGTGAGGGCAGCGGTGGAGACGTAGAGCTGCTGTGTGCGGAGTCGCTGAGAGCAGAGTCGCTGAGAGCAGAGTCGCTGAGAGCAGAGTCGCTGAGAGCAGAGTCGCTGAGAGCAGAGTCGCTGAGAGCAGAGTCGCTGAGAGCAGAGTCGCTGAGAGCAGAGTCGCTGAGAGCAGAGTCGCTGAGAGCAGAGTCGCTGAGAGCAGAGTCGCTGAGAGCAGAGTCGCTGAGAGCAGGATAAGTGAGGTGAAAGGTAGATAAGAGTGGGGAGAAGTTAAAATAAGTGACCGTATAGATAGTTATCGGAGTGCCTACAACTGGTGCAAAAATAGGTGAATAAAGTATAAGTAGGTTACTTGTTACGTGTCGGTGTGAGTAATTTTTGAAGACACTACACTAGGCTTGCCACCTCTGAGGTACAAAAAACTGTACAAACGTTGTTGGTGTTGTTGTATATATTCGGTCTTGAAATATTTTTTTGAATGTGAAAATTTAAGATGTATAATTTCCCGAAATTAAGCTCTCCTTCGTTGTCTAGCGGTATTTCCAATCGTGATAATGAAATGGTGTAATTGTATGAAGTTATGAAAGTGTATGTAATTACGCTTTAACTTTGACTGATTATGTTTTAGTGTGTTTATGTCAGGTCTCAAAATTCAGATCTCTCCGCAGGATACAGTTCTTATGCATGAATGTAGGAAGGCACCACTCAGACAATTCTGTAATAAGGAAATTTAACATAAAAAAACATAACATTCTCATATGAGAACTCTTATGCGAGAAATGTCAACACAGTACTCCTGGAGATGTCCTCCTCATTGATCCATAAATTTAACCCTCAATAGTTGCGTTTGTTAAACTGGGTAACAGAACAATCGGCTAATTTCTCAGAGTAAATCGACCGTACACGGCGACAAGAAAAAGTCCTGAAAAATGAATGTGATAATATTCTTACGAATGGTAATAAAGAAAAATGTGCTTAAGGCAAAGGTAGACCTCAATGAATTAATTGGTAAGATTATGCAATTAACGAAATTCCTTGGAACAATGTTGTGCGGTAGTGTGCCTGCTTGTCTAACAAATGTTTATCAATTGGCTAAGGGCTTTAATAAATTTGCAGGCAAGATTATGTGATCAAAAGAAAGATGTTAACACAATAGTATCCCTGTGTGTGTGTAGATTCGTAACATAAATGTTTATAAATGTTTAGTTTTATCAATGAATTCATTGGTACAGATTATGCAATTAACAACAAGAATGACTAAAATACTTCTAAACGACCATATCTACGTAACTCAATGGGCAGCAATGCTTTCCACGATCAGCTAATAGTTGACGCACCGACTTTGGATGACCACCCTTTTTGAAACACAAGGAGAACTTTTGGAACGATCTTATTAGTCTCAATATGCGCGTTATGTGTGAGTGTGTGTGGGTGTATTGTTTCCCTGCTCCACTTTTTGAGATAAGGGGTTCCCTGCCAGGCGGTGGGTCGTGTGTCATACACACGGCTTTCTCTCTCTTGGCTGCAGCTGCAGGCCTCTCTGTTGCAGGCACGTTGCTCGTCTTTGAAGGTGCCCGATTGCGTTCGCAGCTCGTCCCTGACGCCAGCGCCGACAATGTTCCTCGGTTGCACCGGTCACGTGCTCGCTCTCCTTCTCCGTGCTCTCCTTCGGCGGTGCACGATTGCGCTCGCAGCTCGTCCGCTGCTCGCCAGTGCCGACACTCTTTATCGGTTGCGCCGGTTACGCGCTCTCTCTCTCTTTCTCCGTGCACTCCTTCGGCGGAGCACGATTGCGCTCGCAGCTCATCCGCTGCTCGCCGTTCCTCACTCTTGTCTTGGTTCCCAGCTAGTGTTCGTCGGTGTGTGTGTGACTCAAAGTACGTTTTGCGTAGTGTTTTGGGCAATGTTTACAGCGTGGTATTTGATATATTAAGGGGAGGCGCCCCCCTGCATCACGATTTACTGTTGGAAGACAAAGGTGGTTGGGGAGGCTCTGATTCTATGGAATAGATTATCTTGGTCGTGTGTGATTGACCTGTCTCGCATTGTATTTTTTCTGGATGACCCTCGGTCTAATACTTCATCATAATTATTTGGTTTATGTTTAACCAAGATTTGTGATCTACCATAGTTGTTACCACAGGTATTCCAAGGGTTTTATTAACCTTTGTTCCCCGTCTGTATGCAGGGATCCGTGCTTTTTATTCTCGAGTTATATTTTGATATCCTGAGGTTGGAGACTAAGTTTTGACTTGAGCTTTCGTGACTGCCGGAATTCATGTTCTTTGGTTCTTTCGGTAAAGTCACGTAGATAGAAAGATACAATAAAAAAATATATATATGTGGTGAATAAGAGTAAAATAAAGTAATAATGAAAGCCACTAATGTAGACTGCAGTCTGGTTCTAAATCTGAGAGTGTACTGGCAGTCTATAATGTCGATTTACTCTCATCACTAAGTTTCGAACTTAACCGTTGTAAAAAAAACGCCAGTTGTAATGTCGGATTGCCCCTGCTCTGCGTTTGTGGAGATCTGAATGGGGTGGTGCAACAACCGTGTCAGCAAGTTTCGATTTGAGACCAGGCTGTTCCTCCCGCACCAGCGAGTCTGGAGATTTGTTTGTGAAACTGTCCAAAACATCTGTGGAGGTCGTGTCATATGGTCCTTTGACAATCTGGAGATTTCCCAGATTTTCATTAACCTCCCTTTGCCCCGGGTTTATTATTTAATGGCTCTTTATGACCTCCTCCCTCCAGTTGCTTTAATGTGGCAAAGCAACTGGAGTGTGAGGGGTGGGGGTGTGCCTCACCCTTTCGTGCCCCATGCTCACCCCGATCATCCCTCCGACAGCCCTTGGGATAGCTTCCCCGGAAGGTGCAGGCCAGGCTTCGCCGCTGGCAGAGCAGAACTGCGCAACTCAAGCAGCCGAGTCGCCGCCATCGCGGAGGTATCGCCGCCCTGTCTGCGCCCGCCTTGCCGAGCGCCGCGGCTGTGCTGGTCGGCGAGCTCGACACAGGGGAGCCGGCGACGGAGGATGCGGCCCTGGAGCCACATGGCGCCGACCTCGCTGCGGCTGCCAGACGCGCGACTCCTCCATCCTGCCGCCCAATCGCGCGGCGGCCATTTTGGCGGGGGCGTGGGAAGCGGAGCCCGCCATTTCATCCTTCCCGCCAAATTCGCCGTGGGAGATTCCGGCGCTTCAACGCCGACTCCCATTCGTCAGAGAGTTTGCGGCGGCTGGCGGGGATTGGGAGGCATTCAAACGATGCTTCTCCGTGAACTGCACGCTGGCGGGCTGGACTGAGGCGGAGGCGTTAAAGGCGCTTCCCACCACCCTCGATGACGATGCTTTGGCAGCATTTTATGCCATCCCACCGGGGGAGGGGACCATGTTATCGCAGGCCTTAGGACAGATGGCTGCGGTATATGACCCACTTTTGAGCGTTCGACACAAGTTCACTGCGCGGAGGCAGGGGGAGGCCGAGACGCCCCTCGCCTTCCGCAGCGCCCTGCTGTCCCTGGCGCAAGCAGCGTACCCAAAGATGGAGCAGGCGGTAGTTGACTCTTTGGTCCTGGAGTGGTTGCTGGCGCTGGCGAAGGAGTTGAACATCGCCTTGCCAGCTACGGAGGAGGACGACCCATCGTCCCTCAAGATTTCCCGGTATATTCAAGCTCACCTGAATCTCATGGATCGTCGGCGGTCATTGGAATGATACAGGGGGTAGAGGTGCGGGTGCTCATCGACACTGGGGCATCTGCCACCATGATTTCCGAATAGATTTTTTATATTTTATCCAGAGGATGTCGTTCCTTATGCCCTGTCATTGTTCCGTACTTTGCCGTTAACAGGGGATCCATTGGCGACATTAAATTGACAGGCCCGGTCCTTGTTTCCACCTCCCTGGCCGTGCCCTGCCTGTTAGGGACCGATTTCTTGAGTAAAATGCCTATGAAGATCTTGATAGATCAAGGATGTTTGAAATTGCTTTCGGGCTGTCGCATCACGTTCTTATCTTTCCCCACTCGATTGCGCACAGCTAACGCGACTGTACAGGCGCTAGCTAGCTTCACAGTTAAGATTCCCCCCGAAGCGCAAATGCTCGTTCCCCTGCATCTGCGGAAACCGCTCGATTGGGAGGCAACCGCGGGAGGGGTCGTGTTGGGATCCTCTAATAGTGCGGTCCGGGGGATGATGCTCGTGGGGGCTCAGATGCTGGTCTCTAGGGAACAACAGCCATCCATTCAGATCCTCAATGTTGGGCCGGACGCGTCGGTCATACAGGCGGGCACGGTGCTCGCCCGTGTGTCGACTGCGAAGGAGGACAGTAACATTGTGGGGGGAGTGGGGGTCGCGTCAACTACGGTTCAAGGGCAGGTCGGAAAGGACAGCTGGCGAGATGCCCTCTGCTCTAAAAATTCGGACTTGTTCGATGGCCAGAGGTCCGCGCTGCGTGCGCTTTTACTTGAGTTTGCCGATGTTTTTAGAAAAGGTAAATTCGACATTGGCTGCACGACCCTCTTAAGCCACCATATTGACACAGGTGACGCCGCCCCCATTTGGCAAAATCCTTGAGACCTACTGAAAAGGAACACGTGCAGCAGGCGGTCGACGAGATGTTGGCCGCCGATGTTATTTCTCTATCTACCAGCACCTGGGGTGCTCCGAGGGTTCTCGTGAAGAAACATGATGGGAGTTTGCGCTTTTGCGTTGAATTCTGCAAATTTAACAAAGTATCCGTGGCGGACGCGTACCCCCTGCCCCGCATAGATGATTCATTGGACGCTCTGGCGGGGGCGTGTTTTTTCTCAACGCTCGACTTACTTTCGGGATTCAGGTAATTGCCCCTTGATGATTGCTCTAAGTCTAAGACTGTTTTCGAAAACCGCAGGGTTTATTTGAGTTTAACTGGCTCCCGATGGGCCTCCACTCGGCCCCGGCGATGTTCCAGAGGCTCATGGAGCTGCTCCTGGTAGGACTCCAATCGGACTCCTGCCTGATTATAACTGGACAACGTTATCATGTTTAGCCGAACATTCGAAGAGCACTTGGTATGGCTCCGCTCAGTTTTTCTTAAAATGGGGGCAGCTAACCTCAAATTTAAACCTCAAAAATGGCACCTGTTGCAGACATCCATTCGATATTTTGGGCATATCGTCAGCGAGTCGGGAATTTCCACAGATCCCGATAAAACTGTGTGCGTGTGCACGTGGCCAACCCCCAAGTCGGTGGGTGAGGTACGCAGTTTTATAGGATTTGCATCTTACTACCGCCGCTTTGTGCCCGGGTTCGCCACTATTGCCAAATCCCTCCATGCTGTTGCGCTCCGAGATGGTCTGGTGGATGCCTCTCCCCTCTGATACCCAGATTTTTCATTACCCTTCATCCTGGACATGGACGCCAGCAACACCGGCATTGGCACTGTATTGTCCCAGGTTGTGGACGGGGTGGAGAGGGTCGTGGCATATGGCAGCAAAGTGTTGTCTCTGGCCGAACAACGCTACTGCGTTACGCATCGGGAGTTACTTGCCATAGTTATTTTCATACAACAATACCGGCTGCATCTCTATGGTAGGCGTTTCGCTGCGCGTTCCGACCACGTCGCTCTTCAGTACGCTTTACGCGTTGAGCAACCATTCGGCCAGCTCTCCCACTGGCTGAAAATTCTACAAGATTCTCCTTCGGGTTTCTTACCGTAAGGGTGCGCGGCACCAAATGCGGACGCGCTTTCGTGGCTACTTCTGTGCGACGAGTGTGCGTGCCTCTCTGGCTCGGGCCACTGCAAATTGGCTACCGCAGCGGTACCCCCTTCGGTTGTCGCGTCGGCGGGGACTTCCACCCCGGATAGCCCCGATGATCTCGTGTGCTCGTGACTTCACCCTTGGGTTGAGTCACAATGAATGGGGACGCCTCCAGGCGGAGGACGCCTCCCTATTGAAGCAACGGTGCCATGTCAGTGACGCGGGAAACGTGTCGGCCCGACACGGGGTGGTCCCTGTCATTCTTAAAGACGGCCTTTTGATGTGTTGAGATGGTGGCTTATGTCGCTACAGTGTTGTGGTGCCTACGGGCCTCAGGGGTTATCTTGGCAGTACAAGTGCAACTGATGCACCTTGGGGTACATAAGACGTTAGCTACCCTCAAACTCAATTTGTTTTGGCCCGGAATGGCAGGGGATGTCAAAAATGTGCTTAAAGGCTGCGTGCAGTGTGCTCGCCGGAAACCGCCGTCTACTAAGTGCTGTCCGCTCTTGCAATCTGTTCAAGTATAACAAGCTTGTCGCACTCAACGTGCTCGGGCCCTTTCCCATCACAGCCCGAGGGAATAAATATTTGCTGGTGGGCGTGGAGTATTTCTCCCGCTGGCCTATGGGCACCAAAAAGGTTTGCACGTCGCCCTACCATCCCCAGACGGTCGGGATGGTGGAGCGACTCCACAGAACTCGGACCTCCATGCCAAGTGAGCAGGTCGGTGAGTCCCAGGGCAACAGGGACTTGCATATTCCAGGGGTGCTTGCAGTCTATAGAATGGCCCCTCACACTTCCAACGGCTACTCACCTTTTTAATGTATGGGTAGGGAACATAACCCCCTCATTGACATGCAGCTGAACACCATTTTGGAACCCATGCGAATTACCCTTCAAATGGGTCTCGGAGGCACGCGAGGCTTTTAAGGAAAATTCTGCCTTGTGGCAGTCGGCCAACGAATGGCTAAGGGGGCTTCGGGTGTCTGGTAAGAAATGGACTCCGGGGAACAAGGCTTGGCTGCACTTACACTCAAGTGCCCGTGGGTACATCCCCCAAGTTGTACAGACCCTGGCGTGGGCCAGTTGAGGTGATTCAGGCCAACCGGCCACAATGTGTTAAAATCCGATTCGGTCACCGGTATTGGTTCATGCATCCGTCCCACCTTAAGTCTTTTGTTGCTCCCTTTTCACATCCCTTCCATGAGGGCCAAGTGTTAGGGTGTGCTGGGCTAGCTGGAGTGCGCACCCACTGAGGTTGTTCCTCAGGGTGGTTTTGTCCCGCCCACAGGACCGGAGTGCGCGACACCCTCGACGTTGCCGGCTGCTTCTGCTCCGGACGCTCTGCAGGGTGCGGAGCGACCGTTAACCAGCCGTTCTCCACTGACGCTGTCATCTCCTATGGAAAGACCGTGGCCGTCGGCCCATATTCAAGTCCCCTCCGAGCCTCCCAGGAAGCTTAGGCCCCACCTCGCCTGGGGGCACGGCCATGCGAACTCGTTCTAAGACTAGCCGCCTTTACATGACTCTCACACCCCATGCTGCTTGCCTACACCGTCGTTCAACAGTCACACTCATTTGTCAAGGAGGTCATTGGCTGAACCTGGCCTTTTATTGTACTGTGCGTGCGTTATTATAACACGGGTAGGCTGTGCTGGGGGGTAAGCGGGTTAGTCAGTGGGGGGTAAGCGGGTTAGTCAGTGTCGTGTACATTTGTTGTTGGTTCCCCTCTTTCCATGCATTTTCCTTCCCTTCCCCCCCCCTCTCGGAATGTGTACATATTTTATATGCAGTATTTATTATCAGTCGTCGGTTATTTATTGATGTTGCTTTTTGGGGAGGCACACTTTTTTTCCCACAGTTGGGTTACAGCCGGGATGGCTGTGTTACACGGGAGTGAGGGGAGGGGGTGATGTAGGGACATATATGACAACTATGTTGTGACGTCATATGTATGGGTACTGTAGGCGGGGTGTCACTGAGGTCGCTTCAGACCGTGACACTTTGCGTGAACTCGACAGGACACGTGACCGGATGAAGGGGGGCCTGGGACCCCAGTGGGGAGCTTGGTGGTCTCATGGTAAGGGGCCCGGACCTTCCCGAAGGATCGGGAAGGGGGGCGTGGCCGAGGGCAGGGCCGGCCACGCCGCAACAGTTATAAGCGGGGTGTGAAGAGACAGCGTGGCTGTTCAATCCCGGGATGAAGATGCCATCTGCGGTCCTCGAGTCTCCGATCTTCGTCCGTGACCAGGTAGCCTCTTAACCTGTCCTGGTTACATTATGTAGTATTCCACCCGAGTGTTAGTTAAATTAGGAACGGTGGTCACCACCTTATGTATAGTGTTCAAGTTGGTTGTTACGTTGTTAATAAATAGAGTTGCCTACAGTTTCAGTGTGCACCTCAATCGAACCCATTACACGTAGTTGTATGTGCCATTTCGCTAAGCGTTGAGTGTAGCAATGGGGAAAGACAGATGAATGCAAAAAATCTAAAGCGTTAAGTTAGCTTGAGTTTGAAGGTCCCGTGCATGCATCATACAATTAACTCTCGAACCATGACGCGCAGTATATTTGTTGGACGCACCACAGATGATGTCCAGCGCACACAGGGTGATGGGGTTGAAGCAGTTGAAGGGCTCGGGGCCGGCGAGCAGTTGCAGCTTCTGCACCAGGATCTCCGCCTGCTCATTCATCACCTCCAGGAAGTCCACGAGGATTGAGAAGTGGAACGTGGGGGTGATCATCTTCCTGCGCGATCGCCACTTCTCCCCCGTGCTGGCAACAACGGAAACAGCAAAGCAACAACGTAACTATGGCTGCATGGTCACATATTCGCTTGTGAAGGTTGGTCTTCCGACTCTCCAATAAACTTGGAACGTTTTACCATCGTTGGCCCAATGGTACCATCCGCATGGAAAACTTTTCCGATTGTTGCGTGTTCACTGGGCCTGCTGTGTCCGAGACAGTCCTGAATTTGTTGTTAATCTTGCAAACAGGCAATCCGGACAATTGTCAGTGCGCTCACTCAATGCCTGATTCTATACACACGGCATCCATGTTATTTTATTGTTACTTGTGGGTGCATGTTTCCAACTGCTCCAAATTCAGCATCAGCATCTCTGTCCATGTCAGAATAATCAGCGTGGGTAACCTCTACCCCGGATGTCACCCAATGCATGTGCACGAGATGGAAATGCCACTGGTACAGGCAATGTGTAGCCCCTGCCTGAGACCACATTGGGTTCAGGTTCGTGCTGCTAAAGCCGTGAGGCTGTACCTCGTGAGAAGGCCAGTTCCCAGCCATGGATGCAGGAACTTATACATGAACGCTTTGTCTATCTGCTTTGAGCTGCTCAGGATCACCTGTGGGAATAAAACAACACAGTGACATTTATAATGCACTGCTATGCAATAAAACGATTCAAACCAGACAATTAAATTCCACATGTGTAGAGGAGTAAAATACGCGGTGCGCATAGTTCACCGAGGGCAACTGAGGACAAACAGGCGCGTGTGTGCAACATGAGGTTGCACGGACAAACCGCCACCTAATTAAGGGGAGAAGCGGGTGAAAACGGAGTCGACCTGGTGTGCACGTTGAGACCGGAGGTGTTTCCAGGGAAACGGGAGATGAGGGTTAATTGATGGGCCAACAGACGCCGGCCTGGCGGGAGCTAAACGTGACGCACGAGAGGTCTCGGAAAATGAGCAAAGAGATATAAGGGTGTCTGCGTGAGCGGAGAGGGAGTTGTTGCGGGTGTAATGGTTTCCGGAGACACTTGTAGAGGTAACTTCTTTATTACAATCCAACATCTTCTTGGTTCTCATCGACTGACAACATGGTAACGACTGGACCGGAAACGACTACGAGTAATGAGAGCACAGCACAAGAGAACACCACAGCAACTGTCACAAGTTCCGCTGCAACAGCAGGCCACAAACAGATGCAGGTATGTGTCTGTGGTTGGAGGAAAGTTACATCACACCATGGGTTGAGGATCCACCAGGGGAAGAAGGGGTGTTTGGGTAAAGAGAGACAGAGGCCTCGCATTGATTACTTTCTGCGAAAGCGATCAAATCAGTCGAATGAAGCACAGCAACTGGACGCAAACCATAGTTTGCAGTGCATCAGTACCACTGTCATGGAGGACGTAAACTCAAGCACCGAAGTAACAACTGAGGTGGAACCAACAACAGAAGTGGAACTCACCCAGCCTCCCAGACCTGCAGTCGAGAGGAGACTACCTGGGCACAGACCGTATGTGAAGTGGCCTGGCGCCAGTGACAAGAAGTTGTGGGAAACAGTGAATACTGACCTTACCTTGACCCTCGAGAAACTTCGAGGCACAGTGGAGAAGAAGTTGGAGAGGATGGGGGACATCATCTATGAGTACGGGGCAGAAAGCTTTGGAGTGCAAGAGGCAAAAGGCGGGAGAAAGGTTCCAACCCCACCAGTTTCCAGGAGGCAACAAGAAATCAAGCGCCTCGTTCAAGAAAGGAGACAGCTTAAGAAACAGTGGAAGAAAGCCTCGGAAGTGGAAAAGGAGGGCATAGAGGCACTTCAGGCTGACATCAAAACCCGGTTGGCATCCCTCCGTAGAGCAGAGAACCTACGGAAACGCAGAAGGAAGAAAGAACAAACTAGAACTCGATTCTATAAAGATCCCTTCAAGTTCCTTAAAAGTCTCTTCACTAAGGAAAAAAGTGGAGTTCTAAAAACAACAAAGAAAGACCTAGAAGAGCACCTGAGAACAACAAACTTTGACTCAAAGCGACATGAACATCTGGCCATCCCATCAGATATCCCACTCATTGAACCCCCGGAACATCATATTGAGACCAGCCCTCCGACATGGAAAGAGGTGGAAAACACAGTTCGAAGGGCAAGAACAGCATCAGCCCCGGTGCCAAATGGAGTCCCGTACAAAGTGTATAAGAACGCACCAGACGTCCTGAGGTTCCTCTGGAGGCTTATGGGAATAGCTTGGAAAAAAAAGATAATACCCAAAGTGTGGCGTAGGGCAGGCGGGGTCCTGATCCCTAAGGAGAAGGATGCAGTGAACATCAGCCAATTCCGCCCAATCTCCTTACTGAATGTCGAGGGTAAAATCTTCTTTAGGGTCATTGCCCAGAGGATGGCCGAGTACCTGCAAAGGAATGCGTACGTCGATACATCTGTACAGAAGGCAGGAATATCAGGGTTCTCTGGCTGCTTGGAACATTCCAGCATGATCTGGCACCAGATCCAAATGGCCAAGGTGGAGAAAAGGGACCTCCATGTAGTCTTCCTCGACCTCGCCAATGCATTTGGCTCTGTGCCCCATGAACTCCTGTGGTCTGCCTTCAGATTTTTCCACATACCGGACACCATCACAACCCTGGTGAAGTCGTACTTTCAGGATCTGCAGTTCTGCTTCACCACCTCAGAGTTCACCACCTCATGGCAATGCCTGAATGTAGGTATAATGGTGGGATGTACCATTTCTCCATTGGCATTCATAATGGCAATGGAGGTCATCATCAGATCCTCAAAATGGGTTGCTGGTGGACAGCGAGTCGACTCTGGTTGTCGCCTCCCTCCACTCAGAGCCTACATGGACGACATTACAACATTGACCACCACTGTCCCATGCACCAGGAGACTGCTCAGAAAACTCGAGGAGAACATCAGCTGGGCCCGTATGAAGATTAAACCATCCAAGTCACGCAGCATCTCGATTGTGAAGGGAGTACTCTGTGACCTGAAATTCTTCATCGGAGATGACCAAATCCCAACAGTGTCTGAGCAGCCGGTAAAAAGCCTTGGAAGGTGGTATGATGCAAGCCTGAAGGACAAAGACCAGGTGCAACAGCTGCGCAAAGACATCAGTAGTAGCCTCCAGTCCATCGACAACACCCAGCTACCTGGAAAGTTAAAGGCTTGGTGTCTGCAGTTTGGTCTCCTACCCCGGGTTTTGTGGCCCCTAGCAGTGTATGAGGTTCCAATCTCAACAGTGGAGAAGATGGAAAGAGGAGTCACAGGCTACTTAAAGAAGTGGCTCGGAGTTCCACGATGCCTTACCACCATAGGCCTCTATGGAGATGGTGTCCTCAAGCTGCCCCTCACCAGTCTAACCGAGGAATTCAAGTGTGCAAAAACCAGGCTCCAGATGACACTGAATGAATCTCGAAACCCAGTGGTGAGCAACAACGCGCCGACCTTGGCAACTGGGCGCAAATGGAGGCCAGGAAAAGCAGTCCAGGAGGCAACAGCAGCCCTCAGACATGCTGACATTGTGGGTCATGTTCAGCAAGGGAGAGGAGGCTTTGGACTAACTAGCCGTGCTGCTTGGAGTAAGGCCACTGCACCAGAGCGGCGGAAGATGGTAGTGCAGGAAGTACGCCATCAGGAGGAGGCTGCAAGGTGGGCCAAGGCAGTCTCTTTTGCCAAACAGGGACAGTGGACTCGATGGGACAGTGTGGAGAAGAGGAAGATCAGCTGGAAGGATCTGTGGGCCATGGAAGCGAGGCGGTTGAGCTTTTCCATCAGAGCAACATATGACGTCCTTCCAACACCAGTTAATCTTCACCAATGGTATGGTGAAGATCCGGACTGTGCCCTCTGTTCCATGCCAGCCAACCTCAGGCACATTCTCACAGGGTGTAAAACAAGCCTCACCCAAGGACGCTACACTTGGCGTCACAACCAAGTCCTTAAAAACCTTGCATCCGCCCTGGAGGACAAGCGAACTGCCATCAACTCCCTACCACCCCCAGCAGCATCACACCCCTTACGGACGACCTTTGTCCGCGAAGGGGCTAAACCACCAAAGAGCGGCTCTACACCAATAGAGCGAGACCAGCTGCGCTTGGCCCGCGACTGGAAAATGCTAGCTGACATTGGCCGGCAACTTGTGTTTCCTCCGGAGATCGCAACCACCACCCTAAGACCTGACATGGTGCTCTGGTCCCGTTCGCTCAAGAAGGTCTTCATCATTGAGCTCACAGTACCCTGGGAGGACTCAGTAGATGAGGCTTATGAGCGAAAACATCTGCGCTATGCCGATCTAGCTGCCGAAGCACGGCATCATGGCTGGAACACAGAAGTCCGACCAGTGGAGGTGGGCTGCAGAGGTTTTGTGGCAACATCTACAACCAGACTGCTTAGAGACCTGGGAATTAAGGGCCAGAGCCAGCGTTCGGCAATCAGAGCTGTATCGGAGGCGGCAGAAGGCAGCAGTCAGTGGCTCTGGATGAAGAGGAAAGACCCCAGCTGGGCCCCAAAGTGAGAGGGCCAGGAGGTATGCAGTCAACAATGCTTGACTCAGGGAGGAGGACGCCCCTGCCATGCATAGTCCCATGGGATGTTGGCTATCAACAACAAGGCAACTCCTATGACTAATTGGGAATGGGACGCAAGCGTAGGATTGATCACCCTGTCGCTGGCCGCCTTTGGGGAGGGTGTATAGTATGAAAGGCCGAAACACCCTAGGACCCAAAGGTTCACTACTGACGATGCGCTCCCCAAATTTCACCAGGCTCACTGTTCATGAACTCTTGGAAGTGCTTGCACAAAGGATAATAACATCTCATCCTGTGTTCTTTGGAATCTAAATTTGGTTCTTTCGGTAAAGTCACGTAGAAGGGAAATAATAAAAATAAAACATAATAAAATAAAATAATTCTCACGACGTTTCGGCTACAACGCAAGCAGTCGTCTTCAGGTGAAGAATGAGACACTACCAAACTAGGAGCTTATATATAAGCTGCGTTGGAGGTGGAAGAGCGCCTTAACAAAAAGAATGTGCATATGAAGAGGAATTTAGCATATTCATGGAAAATGCGTAGGCATTGGGCGGGGGGGTTTCAAAGTCATATTATGCCCATGCATTATGCAGGATCAGCAGCACCAAGGGGGGGTGCAGGGAGTAGCAGTAACAAAGGAAAGGAATGTTAATGATATGTAGCTGCAGTTACTCAACAACCACGTAGAAAACTAAAGTATAAACTACATAAAAAACTAAAGTATAAATTGCATAGCACCATCAGTATACTTACTATACTCTACAATAAGCTGAGTGGTGGGAATCCGGTTTTAGGTAAGCTACCCTTTTTGGATGTCCTAATCAAAAGGAGACCTGAAGGTTCAATGAGCCACTCTGTCTACAGGAAAGCCACCCATACGGATGCTTACCTAAAACCGGATTCCCACCACCATCCATCCCAGAAGAATTCCCTCATCAAGACTCTATATCATAGAGCCCAATGCATCTCCGACCATGAACACATTGCCAGCGAACTCAAACACGTACGCCAAGCTCTTAAGGCTAATGGTTACTCCGACTACACAATCCGCAAAGCCATCACTCCAACCATCAAGAAGGATCCTGTTGATGAGCTTTTCAAGACCATCACCTTACCCTACATTGCTGGGGTCACAAAAAAGATCTCCAAAATCCTGATTAAACACAAGATCCAGGTCCGATTCAACACAGTACATAAAATCCGTGATCTGGTACCGTCTGTAAAAGATGTGGTTCCAGACATACAGTACCCTGGCGTCTACAAACTAAGTTTCCTCTGTGGTAGCAGTTACATTGGGGAAACCAAACGACATGTCTCGGACCGCATCCGTGAACATAAAGCTGACCTGAAATACGGTAGGACAAACACCTCAGCCGTGGCAGATCACTGTTACAACTCAGTGGGCTCACATGATATTGACTTCTCCAAGACAGAGGTTCTCTGCAAGCCATCTGGCTATCATGAGAGATTCGTTCATGAGGCGATCCACATATACAAACACGGAGACAATTTTAACCGAGAAGATGGATTCTGGCTTAGCAATCATTGGAAGGACGTAATAAACCATTTTGATACACATTAGGATGGGTAGAATAATACATAGTGTTATATTAAAATGTATAAGGTATAGGTTGGTTTACAGCAATACAGTATATAATTTAATGTTGGGTTTATCTATGGCAGCATATAGTACGGTATATGCTCGTGTGATGTAAGAGAATAAAGTTTAGATGGAAGCATATTATATAATTTTTACGACGTAGAATTGTAATGTATTACTTGCTGTTAGTAACTCAGCTTATTGTAGAGTATAGTAAGTATACTGATGGTGCTATGCAGTTTATACTTTAGTTTTTTATGTAGTTTATACTTTAGTTTTCTACGTGGTTGTTGAGTAACTGCAGCTACATATCATTAACATTCCTTTCCTTTGTTACTGCTACTCCCTGAACCCCCCCTTGGTGCTGCTGATCCTGCATAATGCATGGGCATAATATGACTTTGAAACCCCCCCGCCCACCTCCTACGCATTTTCCATGAATATGCTAAATTCCTCTTCATATGCACATTCTTTTTGTTAAGGCGCTCTTCCACCTCCAATGCAGCTTATATATAAGCTCCTAGCTTGGTAGTGTCTCATTCTTCACCTGAAGACGGCTGCTTGCGTTGTAGCCGAAACGTCGTGAGAATTATTTTATTTTATTATGTTTTATTTTTATTATTTTATTACTTCCCTTCTACGTGACTTTACCGAAAGAACCAAGAAGATGAATCCCTGCAGTCACGAAAGCTTTAAATCGAAAAATACAATCCAACACTCCAACAGTCCTGATCCCCTGTTACAGCCTAGGTACACAGCCTAGGTACACAGCCTAGATACACTACTCTGGCTACGCTCTGGAACTCGCCCTCACAAGGACGTAGAGCCGGGAGTTCCAGAGTCCCACCACTGGCTCTCACAACATCCCAGGGTCCTGAGATGGCTGGTCTTGGGTCTTGGGTCTTGGGTCTTGAGCTACAACGGGCCCTGATTGTCCAGGGAGCTCCCCTTTTATGCCTAGTCCCCAACGAGGGGTGGGGCCATGTGCGCCCCCAGATATCCCACAGACCACACACAGCCCCCCCCCCCCCCCCCCCCCGTTGGTGGCGCCAAGGGGCTTAAGCGCCTGGGCCGCCCGGGAACCCAACGCCTGGCGCCAAGAGGCTTAAGCGTCTGGGCCGCCTGGGAACCCAGCGCCTGGCGCCAAGGGGCCCAAGCGCCTGGGCCGCCCAGGGTCCCAGAGCCCCCAGCAGCCCCTCCCTTCTTATGTCACTACACGGGGAACCAAGAGTGAAGACATCTCGCCGCTGCAACTCACACTGTTGCCGGCGAAGGGCAGTGGCGGAGATGGGGAGTTGCTGTTTGTGGAGACGCTGTGTGCGGAGACGGTGTGCGAAGACGCTGTGTGTGAAGCTGCTGTGTGCGGAGACGCTGTGTGCGGAGGCGCTGTGTTTCGGAGCTGCTGTGTGCGAAGACGGTGTGTGAGGAGACGCTGTGTGCAGAGATGCTGTGTGCGGAGTCGCTGATAGCAGAGCTCCTGAGTGCAGGATAAGGGAGGTGAAAGGTAGATAAGAGTGGGGAGATGTTCAACATAAGTGACCGTATAGATAGTTATAGGAGTGCCTACAACTGGTGCAAGTGAAGAGGAGTCGGAGACTGGTTTACGCACTTGTTTATTGTTCAATCCACAGCCACACTCGTTCCTAAAACCAACCCTGAACACACGTCTCGCAGCCCCTTTGAAGTCCTCCATCTCCGCCCTCGTTCCCAATACACATATCCGTCTAGCACGCCGAGTCCGTATGACGTGAGTGCCCTTTAACCCTTGACCCCCGTCTAGTGGATTCTCGTGCGTGTGATTGGTGCGTGCTATGCTGAGTGCGGAGATTTCATGTCTGCGTGGTGCGAGTGCGTGAGGATGGCTCGCAGATCCCTTGCACAAGAATAAGTGAATAAAGTTTAAGCAGGTGACTTGTTATGTGTCGGTCTGAACCATTTTTGAAGGCACTACACATGAATATGCAATACCACTTCTTCGTTGTCATTGTTTCACCACTGTGCATAGTGCGGGTGATTCCACAGTGCAAACTACTCGACTGCAGTGGTTCCCAATTGTTCTGGACCTACGGACAGTCAACTCTGCCAACCTCATTAACCCTCCTCAACACCGTCAACCTTGTCGACACAACACTATCGTGCACAGATTTTTTTTATTAAATAGACTTCTCCATTGCATGATATCAGTGACTGATGCCAGCAGCAATCGCCAGATTCAGTCCTGAGCCAGCTGCTGTGTTGAAGATCCATGAGCACATCGCGAATCGCCAAGGCAAAAGGTTAATCATCGGCATTGTCATCACTGTCAAGGGAGAAGTTTATTGCAACAAGATGACGACACCACTGCGTGTGGTGTTGGGAATTTTACCTCCACGGTGTCCGGGTGGTAGAGAAGGAGCACCGGGACGGGTCCCAACCACAAGCGCACGAGCGGCTCCTTGCTGAACTCGGGCAACATCTCAATGAGTTGCTGAAAGAATTCTGCACCGATAAGAGATCACAGACACACACACACGTGTACATACAAAGACACGTACTAAGATCCCCATGTGCCATTTAACAGATTATTTAGGCAAGTGCTATCAGCGAGCACCTATGAAGGCCGGCGCAGTGCAGGAGTGGGTGGCCAATACCATGTCCGACGGACACGCATTTACACTCACAGGTCAATGAGAGATGAGATATTCTTTTCCTGAAAACGACCGCTGGTGTTGCGATTGAAACGTCATAGTTTTTTGTTATTTTCTTGGAACCTATCTATGTGACTTTACCGAAAGACCCAAGAGTATGAATTCCTGCAGTCACGAAAGCTTTAAGTCAAGATTTCAGAGATGAGATCATTGTAAAATCCAAATTGCTCCCTCGGCTGATATTTATACAATAGAGCCTGTCTGCTCCTTCTCAACACTCGGATTTCTTAGCCATCTCACTCGACAAGGCAAACTTAGAGCACGTGTTTGATAGTGGATGCATGCCCACGCCCGTGCATATGGTGGTACTCATCTCTGTGGGTGACCCTGTGTTGGTGGTGATAATTCCACATTCATGTGGCAAAAGCCAGTCTCTCCAATAGACACTGTTGACTTCCCACAGTGGTGGATCATTTTATCAACCCTGGAAGTATGACTTACTCAGTAAAAACCTCAGACTTAGTCCACCATTTTGTCACGATTTAAATTAGTACAGTATGACATTGAACTGGTATGGTTATTATGAACTAGCTTTACTACCCGGCTTCGTTGGATTCACGATGCCCGGCCGCCTTTGTCTCCCCAGTGGCAATGTTCACACATCACACCAGTTACTCGTTTGAGGCTGAGTCGACCTTGGGGTGGCCCAGGAGCGGTTGAAATAATCGTCACCAGTGGTGGCCGTGAGCGGGAATCCAACTCGGGATACCGGGTTCGTAGCGCAGCGCGCTAACCACTACACTACAATGCGTTACGCTTCCACATGTCACGTGACAGATTTGCCGTCACACTACACTTGCCGTGCAAAAAATATATGCATTATTGAGCTCCCCCCCCCAATAAAAAAACGAAAGTGTATTTTTCAAATTTTTGCACGGTGTACAGTCTGTAAAGTACCCACATGGCAAATTTGCAGTTTGTTCCATGTCGGGAAGTATGCTAAACATTTTGAACAGACACACATATTCACAACTTTGCCTTTTATATATATGGAGATTACATAACTTGGATTGCCAGGTCCATAGCATAGTGCGCCACCACTCCCCCTGTGTTTGATTCCTCACCTTTATTATAGATTAAAGTTTTTATCTTGGTTAATTGTAACTCATGAATGCATTATTCCTAAAATTAGATCGTGTCGTTACACAGTAATGCCAATTTTCAGCTATACCCTCCACAACCTGACAGAGCTAATCAAATCAAGTTGTTACATCATGGGACAAATATGTCAATTGATAGTTTTTTTTAGCAAACCGGAGGAAGAGGAATGTTGAAAAGCCTAAGCAAAATAGTGACAATTGTGTACAACATTTCACTGGAGATTACATCCAGCATCATCAGATGTTACCAGCACATTTTGGAGGGTATAGCTGAAAATTAACATCATACCTACAAGGATATAGCTCAAAAGCAACTACTGTAATTATTAAATATTGGTCGTGAAAGCCTCAGTATAAAATTACGAAAGCATATTTACACATGTTAAGCTACGAAAAAACATCACACAGGAAGGTTCAGGGAGAAAGCTATCTTCAGTGTAAACCACTTCTTTGCCAGTTTTTTTCCACATGCACAAAGAAAATACGTGGAGTATGTCGCTATAGCTAAAGGTTAAAAACAACGATAAAGGTAAAAGTCCACGTTTCTTTGCTAGTGTTGACTTTAGTGAAAAAACACTATCATAAATGTTTACAGCTATTGAGATGGGTCAGAGCTCAGAGTGCTGAACAACAAAAGCATATCAACTTATATTTTGTTCTGCACTTCATTTTGATAAATCCCACCAGAATGGATAAAGTGCTGCACCTTTGTGTGAACCAGTGGATGCTAGGATTTTAGAAGTTAGTTCTGTAATATCCACTTTCATGTGCCATTCTCTAACACAATGCTATGCGAGGAATATGAATGGTTTCTTCACCTCATGACTTTACACCAATATAGGTGGAATACCACTGCAGAGGTGGAACGATGCGATGAGCTAATGTGCGGGAGTGAGATGGATTATTGCATCTGTAGTGACATCGAGGATGGCCCTGTATGGTACCAGCTCGGAAGGGCCGTGGGCATGCGATGCATTGTCATCGTGTACACCCCGTGGTGGGTGTAGTAACAGCCCTAGCGGGGCTTGGCGAGCGCTGGGATAGCGCAGGTACGATGCATAGCGTGCAGTGCGTTCTCCCACGAGTGTCAGCCTAAGGACAGGGTTGGCACTCTGGTTGACCCTGCAGACACGTGATCTAGTGTCCACAGAGAGGCCCCCAGGTGGGGGGACTAGGGGGTGATCACGTGTCCCGGGAGAGCTCTCGAGAGGGATCGAGGAGGAGCTAGAAGGCTGTAGAAGATGGGCGGGGCCAGGGGAAGAGCGGCCCCGACCCGTAGGGGGATATAAGGCGGGTTCCCTGAGAGGGACCTGGGTCGCTGCATTCTACAAGCTGAAGCTCCACGTCCACCAGCTGAAGCTCTACATCTCAAGCTGGAAGCTCTACGTCCTAGAGGGCAAACACGTGGTCGCGGACCCGAGTGAGGGCCCGATCCATCATAGCAGTGACTCCTCTGTATAGAGTGGTTAGCTGGGTGGTCACCATCCTAGGCTGTATCTGGTGAAGGGGCAGTTACCCCTTTGTGTTACGTGTTACAAATAAATGTGTTGTCTCTAAAAGGATCAACGTCTGCGACTCAGTTGGCCTCGCTACACATCAATAGACTGTGATGGGCGATGATAACTTGGGAAAGCCTTCATCCAGTAGTGTATAGATCATGGCTGTTGATGATGATGAAAGGGAAAAGAGTGGAAGATCTGAGGACGATGAGGATAATCATCTGGAGAGCAATCCAAACATTCAAAGCAGCGCAGAAGGTGCAACACTCCAGACTGGTCTTGGGGTTGATTTTTTGTTTCACCAGGAGGCCAAGGTTGCCAGGGAGTTGTCCGAACAGGAGGAAGTGGCGGGGGTGACAGAGGCGTAGCTAGGATATTTTGCGCCCGGGGACGAACTATAAAATTGCCCCCCCCCCCCCCCCCGTTTAATCACATTTTCCTATTACCCATCATGGCTTGGCTTCGCGAACGAAGATCTAGGAAGGACATCCACGTCTTCTGCAGGCACGCTGGTGGCTGAAGAGGCCTATGCGGGACAGGCAGGTCGATTTTTTTTTTTTTTACATCGAATAAGGAATAACAATTTAAATTTTAATTAAACATTGTATTTAAAGAAGCAAATTTATAGAAATTATATTACATGGCTCACTCAGTCACTGTCGTAGACTGGTTGTCAGTCTACAAAAGATACATTTTTCTTGATTTCACTGTCGCAAACTGGTCAATCACATAATCAACATCTGTTTTTTCCAATGTTTCTCTTTCAACGCTAAGAAGAGCAAGATCGCTGAGACGATTTTGTCCCATTGAAGCATGCAAATACGACTAAATAAGTTTCAATTTGCTGAACGACCGCTCACAGCTTGCAATTAAAACTGCTTTTGTTAATAACATTTGCAGTGAAATTCGCAAATTCGGAAATATGTCGTCTCCATAAAACACAATAAAACCAAGAAGATCCAAAGGAGTTTCTGGTAGAACTTCATTCCGGTTACTGAGCAGCATTTTGCAATCTCCAATTTCTGTGAAAAGTTCGTGGCCACTGATGTCGGTGTCATAGAAATTTCCAAAATCTGTGCAATTTCGACGAATTGCATCGACATCTGTGTTGGATAGAAGAGTTTTGACGTCCAGCAGAAATCAAAATTTTGTGTTCAGGTTTTTTAGTCGTAAAAACCGTGTTGACATCTCCTGTTGAAGTCGATAAAATACGCTCTTCATAACGCGCACAATTTCTTCTGCTGAAAGTCCTGCATCTCTTGCCAGTTCTCCTGGCATCTTCCGACATCGCCTAATTCTTCTGTCCACATCGATCCCCCAGGCTGTGCATCTTGTTTTGGCGTTTTCTACAGCAACTTGGCTCAAATCATCACGAAGCTTGACAAATTCATGCTCCAAAGATTCAAGATCAGTTGCTGCTTCCTTGAAATTCATAGTAGGATCATGTAAGAGCTTCTGAACATGATAAATTTTTCCAAGAATGACATTCCAGAAATGTAATAAAACTATGAAGTTAAAATGTAATACGCATGCCTGTAACTGTTCTGCATCACTTCTGGTTTCAGGCGTCATAGTTACGTCCTCCGATAATTTGTCGAGCAGCCCTACTAGTTCATCCAGTCCTTCATAGATAGCTTTAACAGCTTCTGATCGTGCACTCCAGCGTGTTTCAGACTCCAGCTTTACTGTGATGGGCACAGCTTTTTTTAACTCTTCCCAACGAATTGTTGAACGAGAGAAAAACAAATATAAACTTTCAACTGTTCCAAAAAAATGTAACAAGTGGATCCTGTTTAGCTGAGTGTACTCCTGCTAAGTTTAAGCTGTGGTTGTCACAGTTGACAAACAATGCTCTGATTTTTGTCACATATTCGTTGTTGAAGGCCGGATATATGCCCAGTCATCACAGCAGCATTGTCATAACATTGTGCCCGACAGTCGGCTAGAGGTATGTTGTCAGATTTCAGTCTCTCGATGATGACTCTTTCTAGGCTTGCTGCATCTTTTGCATGTATCTCGATATAACCTAAAAATTATTCTTTGATAGTTCCTTTTATAGTATGAAAATCCACATCCACAAATCTTATGACCTGAGAAAGCTGTTCCCGATGTCCTAGATCAGTTGAGTCAAGTAAGATACCGTAGTACTTGTTTTTCCTGATATCACTCAACAATTGTTTATTTACAGTCGACGCAAGTATGTGGATAAATTCATTCTGGATTTTCGGTGACAAATAAGAAACTGATCCCGGATTTTCTCCTGCGTGATGTGCGTGTTTTCCTAACAATGAGTCATACTGCGCAACGAGTTTGATCAGCGCGAGAAAGTTTCCAACATTTTTTTTCATCCGCATTCAAATTTTCCTCATGGCCATGTCGTGCCAAATTTTGTGAAACCAGAAACTTAATACAGGTGAGTATTCTTTGCAATATATCTCGCCGTTGTTTTTCCAAATGAATCTGAGCTTGAACCACTGCGTCAATTCCAGTACCATCAATTATCCTTCGTTCGGCTTCCTTCCATGTAGTAAAAGCTGTGCGGTGGCTAGGATTGTTTTCATGAGAATTTAGTTTTTCTGGCTTTCTCCACTTGTTGAAACCGTTTGTTAACTCAAACGAAGCTCGTGAGTTTGAACTCGATTATGTAAATAATAGACAACAGAAACAGTAAACAGCTTTATTGATTGGTGAATATAATAGCCACGAACGAGTCACTTCCTCTCCGTTCGCTAGTCGGCGTTTAAACCATGATGATGTAATTGAACGTGCGTGGGCTGCTGCGGCTGCTGCAGCCGCCTGGAGCGTGGTGTCACTAATACGAACTAAAAATACAGTAGGCCGTTGTAGTTTCCGCCACCAAAAAACAGGCCAGTGACTAAGGCTGAAAGACTGTGCCTGTCTGTTGTTTGGGACGTTCTTCCATGTAAGTTCTTAATAGGCGCGCGTACCAAAATGTAATTACATGAAATGTAGGCTGTGTGTGGCGGGATATATCAACTTTTAGGTTGAGGTGTAGATTTGTGCAGTAGTTTCAAGGCTGCCGCGCCCGCCGCAATAAGTTATAATGTAACGTTGTAAGCCTCATTTTGGCGCCCCTTTACCTTGTCGCCCGGGGACATATGTGCCCCCCTGCCCCCTAGCTACGCCTCTGGGGGGTGACATATTCGCAGCGTGGGCATCTGCACTTATTGTATCGTTCTTACCCGCCCCTACTGGATATCTGTGAAAGAGCTTTATAGTTCAACGGATTCTTCCAGTATAAATATATCTTCTGATCTCGTAACAGACCTCAGGTTAAGTCGGGATCCAGTTAAGAAGGCAGTTTGATCATTGCTGGGTGGAAGTCACAAGTCTGGTGCCAATATTTCGGACCTCACGACAGAGTTTTGCACCAAGAAATTTGCTCCAAAGTGCAACACAAACGTGCTCGTGTTTGGTTGAGATATGAACCACGTGGACAACATCAGAGGACAAGTTGTTATAGTCAACTAAATAGATACGCAGATAATTTCTCCCTCATATATCCGTCTCTCCACATATAAACCAAAAGTACAGTATTTCTTGCACAATTTAAAATGCATCAATGCTATTTATATTCCCCATATTGACCCCAAATCTTGTTTTGTGTTGTATAGTTCGGTCAACCTTCGGACTTTGGATTTCAACTCAACAGTCATTGCTCTAATCACTCGTGGACTGTAAACATGAACAATTCACCCGATAGCACTCTAACCTGCTCTCACTCGTTAGGGGTTGACTCGGCCCATTTCCCTTCCGGGTCGATAAAGTAGTTACCATTTTGTAGGGAAGTCAACAGTGGTTTTCCTGTGGAGAGACTCGCTCCCCTGTGGAGAGACTCGCTCCTGCCACAGGAATGTAAACTTTCCACTACTTTTAGCCATGTTTGTTTGTTGTAGTACAGAGTTAGACTGATGGCCTTTATCTAAGTTGTCTTGTGGTTGTTGTTTGACTTGCATCCCACTGGGATTTTTGCACACAGCGTTGGTGTACGGTGTTTTTTCTGCAATATTTTGCTGTCTTTTCTTGGATTTTCTGTTTGCACTTCGTCACATATTCACTTTAAGATGTTTTTGTTCATGTTTTTGTTTGTTGCGGTTGCACCCGATTCAAGAGCCGAATGGCTCACAGGGCTATACCTAATAAATGAACTTGAACTTTCGTGCTCATTCGCGCAGGATGACAACGCTGCGACTATGAAAACGATACGACAGTCACAACTCAAAGCAACCGTGCCACTTGGCAACACACAGGTGACGCAGTTAAGCCACAGTTCTCATTGTCGAGAGGTGGAATTTAGCCGACCCAAGTGCAGAAACCAATCGCTGCACTGCGATCGAGCGACCCACCTACTGCCTGGGGCCAATCTCCCCGACTCGCCCCGTCTCGCACTCACCTCTCCCGCCGCGCTTCAGCATGAGCGCGTTGCCGAAGAACGGGTACGTGGGGCTCGGCCCGGGGATGCGGCTCATGTGAAGCAGCTGCCTGAGGAAGCGATGCGCGGGGCGAGACGCGGCCACGCAGAGCGCGAAGAGCGCCGCGGCGAGCAGCACGAGCGCGGAAAGAGCATCCATCCTCTCTGCCTGTCCCGTCCGAGTAAGCCTCTCTCTCTCTCTCTGCACTCACTCCCACTGACAACCCGCCACTCGTCATTCATTCTCCACACCCCCCTCGCCCGCCCTCTTGGGAGCTCCCCGCCTCTCCCTATCCCGTGCACGAGAAGAACGCGCTTGCGGAATCGATTCCATCTCTTGGCCGTTCGTTTGCTGGGTCTTCGCGCAGCGGTGCCCCGCCGAGAGACGGAGTGTGAGCGAGCGCATCGACGGAAGCCACCCGCACACTCGTGCCGCGTCTCAAGTGGTGACACACACACACAAATAACACGGCACGGACGCGCCGGTCTGTCAGCTCGTATGTCTGCAACCGAGGCATCGATTCGCGGCGACTCTCGCGCTGCCCACCCCCCACAAGTCCACCCCACCCCCAAGCTCCGCGCAGTACGCGGGGGGGGGGGGGGTCCGAGCCGCGTGAGTTTTTTCTCCCCCCCCCCCCCCATTGGCTGAGATGGAGAGGGCGCGAGCAGCGGCGACGCCTTTGTTTACACGCGAGAGCCTGTTATTGCTGGGCTTGTAACGAGCCCAACAATAACACGAATAACACGAAGACCTGCCCATTGTCCCCCCCCCCGGCACCTACGATTAGCACGGTTGGCTACGTACGGCGCGAAAGAAGGTCAACATGCGTACATATCTGTGTTGGTCTTGGGGGTAGTTTGGCCATACCTCAGACTGGGCGTTTTTGCGCTTTCCACTGCATCATCGCTCCATCCCTTTACAAATTATAACACAATCCGTGAACTGTACTGGCAGTGCGCGCTCGTCGGAACAGGCTCCACCGATGCCATGATCATGATGCCATTGATTGTAACTATTGTGATGATGGCAATGATTGTGGTGACAGTAATGGTAATGCTTGTGATGGTAAAAAATATGGCAATGTCGGAAGCGGTCGTGTAGCGGTTAGCACGCTGCGGTACGAATCCCGGCGAGTTCGATTCCCGCTCATGGCCAAACACCAGTGATGATTATCGGGCCTCCCCTAGGTCGACTTATCCTTAAATTAATACCCGGTGCGGTGTGTAAACATCGCCACTGTAAAGACAAAGGCGGTCGGGCGTGGTCCTGGCGACCCACCGCCTCGTGTCGGCCTTCAGATGTGCACGCTAACAGCCCTTAGCCCAAAAGTCTGTTCCAAGCTAAACGGGGGCTTGGGCAGGGCATGGCCCTGGCTCGATGGCTGTGGTTGAGCCTAACGACGGAGCGGCAGCAAAAGGTGGTAAAACACCGCGAAGGTTGAGCGATGAAATCGACCCGCGTGCAGCAGCTGGACGGATTGTACCATCGTGAGCCGTGAGAGACGGCGACGTATTTGGGGAGGTATTCATGGATAGAGAATGGCCGCGGCGTTGCGCGTTATTACCCACGTGTGAATATATTCGTGTTCTTGATTATGAGGGCGCCCTACCCGTTGGGCAAGGGCGTTGTTGGGTCACTTCCACTTGGGGTGGAAAATGCTACCAGTGTCTACCATGAGCATTTTCCATACCTGTCAACCCATACGTTTTACCCCGTATTCTTGTACAGGAACGTTTTCAGGTCCATACAGCGTACAGCCGTTTCAAAACTGGCAATTTTTTTTCCGTTTGTTTATGTTTCTCCCTTGTGATGGGACTTTGTAGGATGCACGTTGAAATTTATAAGGGCACGGGGTGACCAATAAGGTCTGAATAGGTATGTAATAAGGTAGGCATTGATAGGAGGTTGAAAGATATGAGTATCCACCATGAGCAGAATCAAATACAGTACTTATACTGGAGAAATCCGATGAGCTATAAAGCTCTTTTTCACAGATGTCCAGTAGGAGCAGATATCAACATTACAGCAATAAACGATACAAAAATACGATAGTGCAAAGTACAGGAAAGGCAAACAAATCACCCAAAAACATACAAATGAAACTAAACCATTCCCATCTTACCAGACGAAGGTCACTGAGGTCTTGGCTTATTTTTCAGAATCGACCTGGCCATAAATTATAGCTCAACAAAGTGGCTTATATTGTGAAAATTTATAGCAGCAAAATAATCTAAGTAAATATTTCTAAATGTGTAGAGAAAAACCGGAGAACATCTATGCGACCACGGGGAGGACATGCAAACTTGAAATATTCATGCATCAGCGTCGGGATTGAACCCCTGACCTGCATATCAGGCGAGGAAAATAACATCACACCACCGTGGTGCCCCTTAAATAAAGTTCAGATTGCATCATCAATTTCAAACTTGGGAAAGGCAGCAAAACAAATGCAAAACAGTCCAAGACCACACCAAGACTACATAATCCATCAATAAAATTGTATATTAAAATTAAACTATCGATACATTTCAAAAAATCGAATTAACAAATCACATTGGCAAATGTGGCTGTATCCAGCACTAAACTTCTGTTTCAGAAGATTTTTGAAGGAAGATTTACGTTAAGGGAGGTAACAAGGTAGGGCTGTAAGCGTAGCGTACATACCACCATTTATAGACTGTTATTGTTGTCAGCCGTCCGGTGGTGGCTACTGCACGTATGTACAGGTACCGGTAATCCAGCGCTGTGCAGGCAGTGAGGGTTGGTGGGTCGCACATGCGGTGAAACTCCCTTTTGTGCTCCCTCAAGGGAAGGCGGTAAAGCAAATAATGTGGATTTCACCTGTTCCGTCTGGTTGGGGACTGTAGTGGATTTTCCACAGATTCTCCGGTTTCCTCCCATATGTAAACACTAATTGGCAGATAACACATGGAGGACCGCAGATATTGCCCAATTGTTGACATTCCACGAGATTTTCAACTCGCGTTTTACTCCAAAACGAGGTTAATTCTCAATTATACTGCAGTACAGCTTTATTATTATGACTTCTCGATTATTGTACATATTTGTGATCTGAAGATCCAATTCGACCAGAGGAATGGCTGTGGGCGTGCCGTCCTGGGTGGCCCCAGTAAGTCGTGGTTTTGCACCAAAAGAGGGCTCGAGGCTGAAAACGCGCGGTTGGTCTTTTGCTTTGTGAGGTGGACATACACATGAGACGGAGGCGGTGGCCATGATGAGGACGATGGTCAGGAGGCAGCTCGGCAACAGCAGCAGCGTATTTTGAACCGTGACTCGCGTGGCGCATAACGCGTCGCGCCCCGTCAGACCGGTTCTGTGTGCGCCTTTGGGCGCGGCTCGAACCCCGCGCGGCCCGCCCTGCGCCTCCGTCACCGCGTCTCCCGTGACCAGCGCCCCACAGAGCTCCTCGCCTCCCCCCTCTCCTCACAGGCGGAGCGCACTCCTCTCGTCTCACTGCGTCTGCTGCTGCTGCCGCCCCTGCTGCATGTCTTGAGAGAACGGAGAGAGACAGAGCGATAGGAGACGGAGACAGGGAGGGAAGCAAGGACGACTCTCCGTTTGCCTGGAAGAGCGCAGTGGGGCGCGGCTGTCGGAGGAGCGGCAGAAGAGGTTGAGGAGGCCTAGCGGTGCAAGCTCGCACTCGCAGCGCTCACGTGAGTGGGATTCACAGCATCACCACCATCAACAATCACCATCCATGTCATTACTATCACAATCATTTCCAAGACTCCATAGCCATCATTGCTATCAATGTGATCAACAGCAACACTCACACAAACTAGTATTGGTTATCAACACCATCGTTTGCACAGTCGTTACTTTCAAGAACATTCCCATCGACGTAATTTCCATAATCACCATCAATATCACCATTATTATTATCGCCATTATTACCGTCATCACCATTACCCCGTATCGCCTGTAACATTGCTGTTAGCAAGCGCGTATAAAAGCCGGCACGGCACACGGGGGAGTGGGCGGCCAGGACAACGCTCGACCGCCTTGGCGATGTTTACACTACGCACCAAGTATTTATTTTGAGGCCGAGTCGACCTAGGAGAAGTCCAGGACCGATAATCGTCACAGCTGTTGACCGTGAGCAGGAATCGAACTCGGGGCGCCGGGGTTAGAAACGCAGCCTACTACCCGCTACAATACCGCTCCCAACAATTATTACCATCGTCACAAGCATTACCATAAATATCGCCATTACGCTCACCACAATTATTACCATCGTCACAATAGTTACAATCAATGTCATCACGGCATCGGTGGAGCCTGTTGGGACCAGCTCGCACTGCCTGTACAGTTCACGGATTGTGTAACCGGTTATACGCGGAAAGGGATGGAGCGGTGGTGCAGTGGTTAGCGTAGTGCACTGAATCGGGCACGACCGTTCATTCAGCAGTGGATTGGCAAGGGTCTGTGTATCTTCTTGGTTCTTTCGGTAAAGTCACGTAGAGGGGAAGTAATACAATAATAAAAATAAAACAATAAAATAACTCTCACGACGTTTCGGCCACAACGCAAGCAGCCGTCAGGTGAAAACCAGGTCTGTCGAGGCGACAGCGTCTGAATTGAAACAGCACACGAGCTTGGAGCATATATATAAGCTGGGTTGGAAGGGGGGGCGCATATCAAGAGGAATTTAGCATATTTATGGTAAATGCAGGTATGTGATTAGTACTACTTATGTCCGTGCATTATGCAGGATTAGCAGCATCCAAGGGAGGGGGGACATAAGTAGTACTAATCACATACCTGCATTTCCCATAAATATTCTAAATTCCTCTTGATATGCAAATTATTTTGTCAAGGCGCCCTTCCCCCCCCCCTTCCAACCCAGCTTATATATATGCTCCAAGCACGTGTGCTGTTTCATTCAGACGCTGTCGCCTCGACAGACCTGGTTTCACCTGAGGACGGCTGCTTGTGTTGTGGCCGAAACGTCGTGAGAATAATTTTATTATGTTTTATTTTTATTATTTTATTACTTCCCTTCTACGTGACTTTACCGAAAGAACCAAGAAGATGAATCCCTGCAGTCACGAAAGCTTTAAATCGAAAGTGTCTGTGTACTTTAACAGGCAAACCTCACGGCGGTGTGTTGTCAGGCTGAGTAGAGGCGTTGCATGGCGTGTGATGCTCACGGCATCTCTGTCAAAAGTCTCTTCGCGTGCGATTGCACGATGGGTTGCTGTGAGACCGGCAACGCGACGGGCCTGGTCGCGACCACGTCGAAATCGTTTATGACCGGAGGCTCACTCAAGGTTAAGAGGTCATCGAGCCCAGTATCGTCGATTCCACCTTATCGCTTCCTCCTGCCGTCTCCCCCTAGATCAGTTTTCCAGCATCGACCCAAATGGCTGCTGATGGGATTACCTCCCACCCCGACCAGCTTCCTGCCTCAATCAGTCCACATCGCTCTCCTGCCCCGATATTACCCCGTCCTGCTACTCGAGTGTTAGCATTGTCGCCACGGTATTCAGTGGATAGATATCTAACAGTGGAGAGATGGTTGACGATCATAGACGTTCTCCTAACATGCTATCCGGCAGTCTACGCACGCATGTGTGTTCGTTGTCAGATGTTAACTACACTCCATGTTAAACTCCACAATGGAGGTTTCGTAACTTAGCAGTGTTTTCCTGAATGCCCCCACGATTCCACTCTTGTGGCGCATGTCTGTCGAAACGAGCCCACAGTGTTTCCAGCTTCCACACGAGTGGCTGGGCAACATCGCTCTGGAAGGCCCCTGATCTGACGGGCTGTGGAAATCTTTCCACAAAGAGAGATATGGACTTTTGTTTTCCCTTGGCCCTAAGCCCAGACAAAATGCACTATAGTGTTTTGTCCTTCCCCCTCACCCCCAGTTAGCAGGGTTGGCTTGCGTACGGTGCGAAAGAAGTTCAACATGCATACATAACCAACCTCTATGGAAGTGATTCGCGTAGGATCTAAAACCCCCGAGTGCGAAAACCGGGGTATCTGGTCACTGTCCATCAGATACTCCGGTTTTGTATCTGCCAATAATGTTGGTGGTTCGTTGTCTCTGGTGTAATTGAATGACTAACCATCGTTTGATACCCTGACATGGAACGGGATGGTTTAATACAGTGTTAAATCACACACACACACTGGAACAGCACTTTAACTCAAACAAGTATTTTATTTATTAAATGCAAAAATGGCATTTTTTAATAGACAACCGGTGATCGGTACAAAGGTACTGTATTTATCAAAAAGCAAATCAGACAATGCTCTATGCAAAATCAATCGTGATACAAAAAAAACAGTATTAAAAGTAATAAATGTATATACACGACTCAAAATGTATAGGGACTTGATACCACAGACCGAAGTAGTTGTGATACTTTTTGATGACTGGAATTTAAGCACAGTTCGGTACCCTTAAGTCGCAGTCAATGGACACGCATCTTCTGCCTGTAGGAGTCGTTGCACACGATGGTCTCCTCCGGTTCAGTGCGGATGTTAACAGCGTTCTGCCGCAGCGACACAGCCACGCGGTAGCAGTGGCAGCTGTCAGCTTGATGAATGAAGGCCCCGTCACAGTGACGACTAAGTCATGGACCGTTAATGAGAGCACGGCGGCGGTGCTATCAGCAATGAACTCTGACGGAGTGCAGACACAATTTTTCTCGTGAATGTAGACAGTGACCGCACTCTTTCTCCGTCAAGTGTCAGATATTTTTACCGTGATAATAGTCCACGGAACTTGTAGTTGTAGTTGATTACAGCTTGCGGCTTGATTAGCAGTGCAGTCGGTGTTTTCTCCTCTTTGTGGATATTCTCCTCGAGTTGTACTTTTTCACGAATCACTCTTAGGCACGTTCCCTCTTCAACAACGGAAAATTTCCAGGTCTCATTTAAACAGTTCCAGTACTCTATTACTTAAACTTTAACTCCTGAAACGTCTCAATAGATTATTGCTTTTAACTTATTACAGCTGTGTTACAGCTTCTCTTAAACTTCTCCATTGCCTTCTACTATTCGTTCAGTGCTGGCTCTTTGTCTTGGCAGCGTATAGCCGGGTCTCGTGATGGGCAGCGTTCCAAGGGCACGAGCTATTGCGCTCAGCCGACGTGAAGCACAGTGTCCTAACCACTACTGGTCTGCCCACAGTTCAGCGGTGGCTTGCGTGGATATATTAATATCATGAATTGACCAATGTATGCCAATTCTTTATTTAATTTATTATCCGATCTTTTCCATGACAAATAACTGCCTCTATTTTTGTGAAGCAATGGAGACTCCTATCTGTTGTGCCATGTTCCTTTCAATGCAAACACTTGCAGAACAAGCAATACGTTATGCAACCACCGCAACTTATCCATTTTATATTCAACTAATTTATCCAATGGTATTACCGACGACAGCGTGTGCCCAGTGAGATCGCAAACATGGGAGCGCGTCAGTGGTACCTAGGGAACACGTCATCACTCCTGCTGACGCAGCAAATCAGCTGCCAGGAAAACAATCTCGATGCAACATGGCTATCGTCGTGGCATTCAAGCCCCTGTGTAAGATGGCCGCTGTGACGGCACCGCTCTGTGCATTCAGCCACGCTGAGTTTGCCCGACTATTTTACAAGGGAGAAGCGTGGTGCGTGAGCACAGCAGCAACAACAAAAAGCAAACGACCAAAAATGTCAATATTGCAGAGATCGAGTATTTCACAACTAACGACCGAGTTGTTTGAAAGTCGTAAATTAAACACACGCGAATAAAAATAAACAACGCAAATTTAATCGAGCAGGAGGCACCAGGAAAAAGTAAAGTACATGTGCAAGTAAGCTCTGTGTTTTGGTATAATTGGCAACCAAGCTTTCATAGAGAGGCAGAAGTATGCCAGATATGTGGAGCGGTAACACGAAAACACTTAATACCAATTAAGTATTTAACAAATAGGATTATCCAGGGGACAGGTTTGAGTTAATTACAACACTCTTTGGTTTTTTCTGTAAAGTCACGTAGGTAAAAAAAATGAAAACTAAATTAAATCACGACGTTTCAGGCGCAACACAAGCGTCCTTCAGGTGGGGACAACGTAGCAAAAGCACAACCGTTTAAGTGTGTCTAACAGATGGCTGTGACGAGGAATTATATAGTCGCTGGGGATGGAGGGAGGGGGGCATGGTGAGTGTGTGGGCGGGCTGTGGACTGGGAGGCAACGATGTGAGGAACGGGGGTGGGTGTTGGGAGGCAACGCATGCAGCTCAAACTGAAGCCTTGTGATGCAGGGGGCGGAAGTAGATAAGAAAGCTAAGATTAAGCAGCCTTTTGTTATGCTGCCAGGGGGGCAAATTAGAAATGCGCAAGATGAACACTAACGTGTGGTAATGGTGATGGTAGTGTGTGAAGCTGGGGGTAATAGACTGGGAATAAGGATATGATTATGAAAATAAATCTAAACTGGCTGTCTAGCAGTAAACTGCATGGCAGCTAAAGTTTAACTTGGTTAATTGCATCCTTCCAATAATTGCTCAATTTGAATCCATCATCTCGGTTGAAGTTATGTCTGTTTGTATATCTGGAAAATTAGAAAGGCGCAAGCTAAACTTGCACGCTCGAAATAACGTGGCAATTGTGAGTATGAATCCTTGCAGTCACGAAAGCTTCAAATCTAGAATTAATTACAATGGTACGTTTTAGAGGGGGCATCAAGGGCAAAACGGAGAGCGGAGTGGTTTAATGAAATGAGACATTTTAACAAAGCTTCGGAAGCTAGGTGATAGATGGTGTTGCAATAATCAAATATTGTATGGGCAGGATGGTAGCATGAGCTATTTTTTTAGATGGAGTCGAGCTGATATACAGCGTTTGTTTCTGTATAGGAATCAATTTTTGGTATGCATCATATTGGCCATTTGATCATGGTGGATCTGGAAAGATAGTTTTGAGTCCAGGAGAAGGCCTAGATATTTCAACTTTCCTAGATATTTCAACTTGCTCAATAAGGCGCGTCTTGGCAAGACAGGTTTGCATACCTGTCAACCAGGTCGGTCGCTGGTACCGTTATCTCAACAGCGTCTTCATGTGCCGATGGAGAGCACTAGTGATCGTAGCCATTGCTCATAGAAAGTCCCGTGTGTTGTAGTGGATGTGTCTTGACATGAGTGGTATTACTCTTTGGTTCTTTCGGTAAAGTCACGTAGAAAGAAAATTAATTAAATAATATACGCCGTTTCGATTGCAACACAAGCAATCGTCATCAGGTAGAACTAATTCTAGATTTGAAGCTTTCGTGACTGCAAGGATTCATATTCTTAGGTTTTTTCGGTAAAGTCACGTAGGTAAAACATAAAAATTAATATAAGTAAAATAAAATAAAAATCACGACGTTTCGGAGGCAACACAAGCTTCCGTCTTCAGGTGGAACCAACCGTCACAGCCACGACAGCTGTATCAAGTAAATGAGAGATTACAAGAGCTACCACTCCGTATATATAATGGTTGGAGAGAGGGTAAGGGCCAAGTACGGCACACTTTTTATGAATATGGTAAGGTGAGGCTTAAGAGGCTGAGCCTTTGTTATGGAGAGGTACGGTTTGTGACTAAGCCTGGCCTACATAACAATAGTGTGAAAAAAGAAACAACTAAACATGGTAAAACAAGCCTGGCTGTCTATCAATAACCTGTAATAGTTGTCTGTCAAATAAGATGGTTCAAATAAGTGTAGTTAAATCTTTTTTGCATGGTTAATCACATCTTTCCAATGATTACTCAGTTTGTAACCATCATCACAGTTGAAATTATGTCTCTGTTTGTATATTTGTATGGCTTCGTGTACAAAACTTTGATGGTAGCCAGGAGGTTTGCAGAGCACCTTGGTCTCGGAAAAGACAATTTCATGAGGCCGAAGAATCAGTTCTGCCGTGTTTCAGATCTGACTTGTGCTCGCGGACACGATCAGAAACATGACGTTTCGTTTCTCCAATGTAGCAATCACCACAACTGCAACTCAATTTGTAGACTCCAGGATACTGTAAGTCAGGAACGACATCCTTCACAGATGGAATCAGATCACAGATTTTATGCACTGTACTGAATCGGACTTGGATCTTATGTTTGTTTAGAATTTTGGAGATCTTTTTGGTCACGCCTGCTATGTATGGTAACGTGATAGTTTGGTCGGAGTTTCATGTGGCTGTTTCTGTGTGGTGGGAGAAACAGCTTAGCGGATAGTGCGGTCAGAGTATCCGTTCATCCTGAGGGCACGATGTACATGTCTTAATTCACCGGCCAGGTGGTGTTGGTCAGAAATGCCATGGGCTCTGTGGTATAGCGTTTTGATGAGAGAATTCTTTTGAGATGGGTGGTGGTGGGAATCCGGTTTCATCTTTCTACCATTCTTGGATATTCTGTTTGAGAGGAGGCCTGACGGATCCTTGGGACATTCTGTCTACAGGAAAGCCACCCACACAGATTCCTACTTGAAACTGGATTCCCACCACCACCCATCTCAAAATAATTCTCTCATCAAAACGCTATCCGCCAAGCTGTTTCTCCCACCACACAGAAACAGCCACATGAAACTCCGACCAAAACTATCATGTTACCATACATAGCAGGCGTGACCAAAAAGATCTCCAAAATTCTAAACAAACATAAGATCCAAGTCCGATTCAGTACAGTGCATAAAATCCGTGATCTGATTTTATCTGTGAAGGATGTCGGTCCTGACTTACAGTATCCTGGAGTCTACAAATTGAGTTGCAGTTGTGGTGATTGCTACATTGGAGAAACGAAACGTCATGCTTCTGATCGTGTCCGCGAGCACAAGTCAGATCTGAAACACGGCAGAACTGATTCTTCGGCCGTTGCCGATCATTGCTACAACTCGGTGGGCTCTCATGAAACTGTCTTTTCCGAGACCAAGGTGCTCTGCAAACCTCCTGGCTACCATCAAAGGTTTGTACACGAAGCCATACAAATATACAAACACAGACATAATTTCAACCGTGATGATGGTTACAAACTGAGTAATCATTGGAAAGATGTGATTAACCATGCAAAAAAGATTTAACTACACTTATTTGGACCATCTTATTTGACAGACAACTATTACAGGTTATTGATAGACAGCCAGGCTTGTTTTACCATGTTTAGTTGTTTCTTTTTTCACACTATTGTTATGTAGGCCAGGCTTAGTCACAAACCGTACCTCTCCATAACAAAGGCTCAGCCTCTTAAGCCTCACCTTACCATATTAATAAAAAGTGTGCCGTACTTGGCCCTTACCCTCTCTCCAACCATTATATATACGGAGTGGTAGCTCTTGTAATCTCTCATTTACTTGATACAGCTGTCGTGGCTGTGACGGTTGGTTCCACCTGAAGACGGAAGCTTGTGTTGCCTCCGAAACGTCGTGATTTTTATTTTATTTTACTTTTATTAATTTTAATGTTTTACCTACGTGTCTTTACCGAAAAAACCTAAGAATAGGTAGAACTAAATTTGAGAGCGAGACACAAGCAGAGAGAGACACAACATAGACACACAGAGACCCAATGCCTCTGTGTCGTGGCCTTAGAGAGAGAGAGGGGGGGGGGCAGAGTGAGAGGTGGGTCTGCTGGAGCAGAGAAATTAGCATGTCAATGAGAGAGCTGTGTGGAAATCCACCCCGCGGTGGCAGGGGGAGCGAAAGCCCCAGCAAGACTGGTACATTTACACAGGGGACGTGACGCGACCTTGGCAGCCATGTTGCTCGGGGGTTGTTCTCCCGGCCGCTGGTTGGCTGCTGTAGCTGGAGTGATGACGTTGCCAGGCGACCCTTGAGGCACCGTCCATCTTTGGCATCGCACCAGATGGGACGCGCTCAGCTTTGCCTGGCCGGGTTTACGCAGTGTGTTGTTGTTCCTCCTCGTGTCCAAGGGTCCTAATGATGCTTGCCTCCATGGCCTCGTGCTGCATACGGCACTGAGAGCACTGTGTACACACATGCAGTGATCACGGAGCCGTGTCCTCTCACTGCTGCGTGTACACGCAGTGCTGGGAGAGCCGTGTGCTGTCACTGTTCTGTGTACACACACACAGTGCTGACGGAGCCGTGTGTATCCTAGCTAGATTTGACTTGTTTACACTTTTAATCGCCACTGACGATAACGTGACTTTCACATGTTTTTGTAATTTGGAATTCCTGGCAATGTGCTCTTCTGTTTAATTTTAAACCTCCGTCTGCCTCTGAGCCAATGCTTGAAAGAGCCAAGAAGAAATCAGACGTTTAACATTCTTGGTGTTGCACCCAAGGGTGCACAGAAAAGCATTTGGAACCTCTAATGTTAACCCATATCGTCTATTGCAGAGTTGAATTCTAATTATGACGATAGTGTGAGGAGCTATTACGTGGTTGCTTAAATGCTTTGTAATTCTGCTCTATACATTTTCGTGTTGCCTTGCACATTAAAGCCAGCTCATGAAATAATTAAATGGAACAACCTTGCAGAACTTGAGATCATCTTACATATCAGCATGAAGTGCTATTGTCGTGATTTTAAAACTATGCATCGTTAGCTTGGGTTTTTTGGGGTGCCCATTTAAACAATCTCCATTAATATTTGTGAAAAACACCCAAGTTTGTATGTATGTTGAACTTCTTTCGCACCGTACGTAGCTAACCGTGCTAATCGAAGTTTACAGTAATATCCCAGCCATGCACTGCCTAGTATATCGGTGTAATGTTACACAGTATATTTCATAACCGTGTCTGCATTGTAAATGTTTGTGTATACTCCCATAGGATGTCGTACCCCGGCTACCCTGGAGGGGGCTACCCCCCAGCCTATCCCCCAGGCGCAGGGCCTTATCCGGTGAGCGCTCGCAGAACAACACCCAACGCATTCCCTCTGAGCAGGCAGCACACAGCTCTATAGCGCAAGGGAATTGCCACTTTACACCAGTCCAAGGGATTGATTTGGTCATGCTTATCGTTTAAACAGATTAATGGCTCTTGCTTTTCTTTTTACACATGACACCAGAGGCCCGAGTAACGAATGACCAGTATCAGTAATGCAATGTGCGTAACTGCTGGTTTGTTCTGGCTCTTTGGAAAATTGCCTTTAATTGATGGTGGCTGTCCATTATTGCCCTTTGAGATGACGCATACGTCTGGGTTACAGTCCTTTTTCCATCGGGCTGAGTGAAATGTGCCTGGCTGTTTAGGGTCTTATATAAGTATATATGTTGAATGTCTTCCGCTGCATACGTAGCCAACTGTGCTAATCCGAGGTGGGGTAAGGACAACAAACTAAACACATGGCAACCAGCTTCATTTTCTGAGTAGTCCATTGTGTGGTGGCTATATAAGTCACCCCTATCTACAGCCGGGTGAATGACTGCTGGCAGAGGTGATGATGGCCATTTATTATTTAGGGAATAATATACATTGATGATTGTCACACGATCAACTGTGAGTGTAATCGTTAATGTGCCATCACTTGTGGTATTGCACTTGAGAGCAGTCCTTTAGGCCTTGCCTGATGAAGGTGGTGAGGAGGCCGTTTTTAGGGTGGTAGATAGCCGCAACAAGAGTGTAACCGTTTGTTCTGTAACTTAAACCATCCGCGTGATGTCCTCAACATGCATCTCCTTTAAGGCAACGTCAACTTTATGCCTTAGATTTTTGGCCAGGAAGTCACATGTAGGTCTTGAGTTGGGGCATTCAAAGACCTCATCGGATCGATGTCTGTTTCTTGAAAGGGCCTTTTTGGAATTTAGCTTTTCTGATCCGATGTGGATTCGAATTAATGACGGCCATTTCACCCAGATGACGGTATTGTGTTCAAGATTACACGAAAACACGTAACACGTCTCCCACCCCATAGCAGAATGAGCGAATGTCTACTTGAGAAAGCTCCACTACCACAGTAATACCCCATTTTACATCTCCCCCTTTTACATAATTTCACAAACATGTCATCACTTAATACTATGACCTGATTTGTCGCCTCAACCCACATTGATGTCGCTGACAGCATCCGTCTTTTCCTGTATCTATTGCCTTAGCCTTCATCTACATACCCTGTACTTTGCTTTGGTTGACGTCGTTGCGATATTCGTCGCACTTTTCAGGAACGCATCCCCGACATAAACTGGGGTATTACTATATTACATTTGCCAGGGAGTCATTCCCAAAGTGTTAATATAGGGCTCAACATCACATTCTTAGAGTTAAACGATGCGTATTCTGAACCCCCTGCAGTGATCTTTCGCAAGCGCATCATTTCAGAAAACCAGTTCAACAGGAAGCAAAATTCAAATGCAGTCATCAGGAGGAGAAAACGGGGATGTGCGCGACTTAGTCCATGGGCCAGAGCAGATATTGGTTACATCCAACATAGCAAAATGCGAGCAGCACCAATGTATTGATATCTGATTGAGAATCAGAATCTTTATTTAGACTGGAGGAATCTGATGAGCTATGGGTCGGTCAGCAAGTTACAACAGCAAACAATACAAAAAAAACGACGAGTGCAAAATAGAGAAAAATGTTAGCTAGTCTCTAGATATAAATGAGAAATAAATATATTACACTAGCGGGAAGTACCCGGCGTTGCCTGGACAAAAAAGACACACACACACACATCGACTTATACACAACAACAACCGCCATTCGCCACTAAGTGGTGATGATGTCACCACGATGCTTGTGCCAGGCTATGTGCACCTTGAAGCCACATGAAATCTCGAATGCCCGCTGGCAGGAGGTCACGGGGCAGACCCAGGTACCACGGGTTTACTGACTGAGACGACTGGCTCTGGCCCATGGACTAAGTCGCGCACCACCTGTGCCCCCTACTGATGCCAATTTGCTGTGCTTTAGCCACCCGGCGCTCCGCTCGTTGTTGTGAGCATCGCTCCTCCGCCCTCCGTTGTTGTTGGAGTGCGACTGCCTCCAACTGCTCAGTAGCATCCTTCATGAGCCTCCTCCACTGAGGCCGATCTTGACACCGCTGGTACCAGTCATCGGCAAGTCCACTCAGCTCCACGTCCTGTACCACATCGCTCCATTTCTTCTCTAGCCCATGTCGCGCCCGTTTAGCCCCCTCTATTCAGCCGAACAAAAGTTGTTTAGGCATGTGGTGGCTGGGCATGCAAGCTACATGGCCCAGCCAATGCAGCCTTGCCTGTCGGAGGAGCTCACCGATGGGACTTTTGCTCAGATCTTTCAAGGATTTGTCAGCTCCTCACACAATCCAGCCTGGTTAAACCCAGGATGGATCGTAGGCAGGCCAGCCTAAATGTTTCTAACCAGCGAAGATGTTCCATTAGGGGGGTCCACGTTTCGCAAGCGTAGAGAAGGGAGAGAATGACCGTGGCCGAGAAGACCTGAAGCTTCGTGCGGAGCGACAGTCCAGGTAGCTTCCACACAGCATTACGCAACCGATGAAAAGATATTGCCGCTCGACTGATTCGGAGTGAGACCTCTGCTGTTAAACTGGAGCCGGTCATGAGCACACTGCCCAGGTATGAGAAACTCTCCACTCTCTCCACAACTGCCCCATCACCGATTGGGAGTTGTGGGGGTGGAGTGTCCGATGGTACAAAATGCCCAGGCAGGTGCTTAGTTTTGGTAGGGCTGATAGTAAGGCCCCACCTCTTAGTGGCACGCTCCATTTTCATCAGCAGCGTCTCCAACTCCTCCTCTGAATGAGCAGCAATTACCAAATCATCGGAGTGGAAGAAAGGCAGGCGCATCTTACAGATGACTCGTCGATGGTCAGAGGGCAGATCAGCTCCACGGTAGGTCCTGGTGTCAAGGACATGGGCTCGCATCCGCTGGTTCGTCACTATGTAGTCCAGCAGATGTTCTTACTTGGACACGGCATGCATCCATGATGTTGTGTGGATGCGCCGATGCCGGAACAGCGTATTGATAATTACAAGCCCATGGGCTGCAGACAAATCTAGCAGCCTCCTGCCGTTATTGAGCTGATCTGGCTCATGCTTTCCAATCAATTCAGACCAGGTGCCAGCATCATGACCAACTCAGACATAGAAGTTGCTCAACAAGATGACTCTATTCCAAGGGCCACTTTAACTACCACCTGTGACAGGAGGTCATAGAAGGCATCGATGACCTCCTGGCACACATGGACTTAGACACACATATCGACTTACAAACACACAGCGAATATTTTTGGGTTGTGGAACGAATCATCTGAGTTTCCATTATTTCTCATGGGGAAATTCGCTTTGATATACGAGTACTTTGGATTACAAACACGTTTCCGGAACGAATTATGCTCGTAATACAAGGTTTTACTGTAAATGTAATCACAGAGAGGTTAGGAGTGGATGAGCTCGGCTAATCCGAGGAGGGGGAGGGGGGGCTGCCGCAATGGGCGAGAGGGTGACATTTACAGAGGGAAAAAGGTGATAGACAAAAGGATATCAAACTTAGCAAACTTAGAAATGTAATGCAAGTCAGAGAGTCGGCCAACACAACAGTTAACACTTTACCTGATTGATCAACGTCCTTCCGAAGATTGCTAAATTTTGCTTCCATCTTCTCGGTTGAAGTCATGTCTGAGTTGTGTGGAAATCCTCCCCGTAGAGGTGGTTAAATCTTTATTTTAAGCTTTCGTGACTGCAGGAATTCATACTATTCATTATTATTTGTCTACACACAACGCGCACACATTGACTAACACACACATCGACTGACACACACACATCGACTCGCACACACCGACTTGTACACACACACACGGACGTACACACACATCGTGGCAGACACACACATCGACTCACACGCACACAAGGACGTAGACACACACATTAATATTTTAATATTGAGCAACTTAATTGTGAAATATTAGTTGTCTACACACAAACATTATTATTTTAATATTTCCAAACTTTTTTTTTAATATTAGTTTTATATATACGTGAGCTTGGCGAAAGAAGCAAGAAAATAGCACTTAACATTTCCATGGTGAGGCTTAGTCCCATGCAGAGCCCCCGACCTCGCCTAGATTGCCCAGCCGGCCGAGGTGGCACCTTGGAAGGCTGGGGGCTGGGCCGCTACCCCCCCAACCCACGATTCCCCGCCCGCTCTGCAGTAATATCTACGTCCTAAACTAGTAGCATCTACCGACTCTATAGTAGTGTAGAGGAGTAGTGGGAGGAAGTGAGGCCATCGGCAGGAAAGAACGGGATTACGTCATAGGGTGACGTGACGTTACCAAGAGTAGAGGGGTACTTAAAGGGGACCCCAGGCCAAGGGGCAGGGTCGTTGTGGGGAGCCAAAGGAACGGAGTGCTCAAGGGGACGGAAGACACGCCGAACGGAAGACACGCCGCTCGGCACCGAGACCCGAGGCCGAGGATAGGCCGAGGAGTTAGGTGGGTACCGGGACGGTCCACGGGAAGGACCAAGTGTAGAAGTGTCTACCTCGGGTGTGTTCCGGTGATACTGTACGTGAGTGTAGTAGTTAATAAACTGGCAAGAGCCCTTACAGAGAATCTCGTCTCCGTATGAGTTTACACCACAACAGTAACTGCACGTATCGGGGTGGGGGGGGGGAAGAAGAGGACATCACACTGAAGAATTGACCTCGGCGTTTTGTGTATTTTGAGTGAATTTTTTTACGCGTTAAAGAAAATGCCCCCCTCACCCCCACCGAACGCGTGTGACTTGGTAGGGGCCGTCCCCCCCCAGCGGCCAGGCGTGTGAGTTGGTATGGTCGATTGCGCACTATTTAATAAATATATAAACGAAATCTGCACATAATTGCTAAATAAAATACTTTAAAGTTGACGGATGGGAAAAAGCAATAGTGCTTGCTTACCGCGGAGCTTACGGTGTG